GCCCGCATACCGCAGACCGCGGACTGGACCGCCTTGATAAAACGGTAATGTTGTTGCCTAAGACCTTGAACTACTTTATTTCGCACACCGATTAGACGTTCAATGGTTATAGCTGTCTATGGGCGTTCCTGATGCGCGTTGTTGTCCCCGGGGAGATACACTATGATACCATGTAGTACAGAGTGCATGGAGAGAGTGCATGGAGTATACAGAGGTAAATGGGTATGCAGGTCATACGAGTGCATGCAATGGGCAGGATGCACCGCCGCGTTATTCTTCAAAAAGTGAGTTATATGCAGGTACCGCGTACATAATACACACTACAGTTCATCAATACACATAATATTATATTTAAAAAAATCCTAATGTTTGTTTGTTTGTTTGTTGTTTAACGCTACACTCAGCAATATTCCAGCTTTATATCCAGTGATTGACATTATCAGCATCGACCCAAGCATGGTAGAACTGGAATACTGTTCAAAGCAGTGTTTAACCCCGCTCACTCACTCAGGGCAGAGTAGATTACAAGTATTCTTTTCATAGGAGATAATTCAATTTGGGATCAGTTGTCGCAGATGTGGGTGTGAGCTCAATGTGGGAGGAAAGCTGAAGTGATGCAGCTTATGTCATGGTCATTTGCCCCTCTGGAGAATCCTATGATTTTGTTTGTTTGTTGTTTAACGCTGCACTCAGCAATATTCCAGCTATATGACGGCGGTCTGTCAATAATCGAGTCTGGACCAGACAATCCAGTGATTGGCATCATCAGCATCGACCCAAGCAATTGGAATACGATAGCATCAACCAAGTCAGCGAGACTGACCACCCGATCCTACTAGTCGCCTTTTATGGCAAGCATGGGTTGCTGAATACCTATTCTACCCATGCAGGATCTTCACGGGTCCAAATGCTTAAGTAAAGATATAATGATGTTTATATTGTAACTAATGTGTGTAGTTTGCATATATACTTTCCCTGATTGTTTGAACTTCGAGGAAGTCTAAACATAGTTCCGTGACCTGGGGTCAGATTTACCCTTCACTGTTTATATTTCTACATTTCAATGTCAAAGACTTGCTCGTTTTCACATATTAGAAACACTCTACCTGAAAACCTCTAAAACCAGAATTTTGGACACATTTATTCTTCCCTATGCATATAGACATAAGTCCAAACAGATGAGTTCAGATAAACACATATAACTGATTTCACAACAATTTCGGGGGGCACGGGTGGCTAAGGCGCCGCGATTCGCTGTGCAGAGTTGCGTCCCTTGGGCACGCCAGAAACCTATGATTGTGGTTCGAATCCCGGTTCGCCCCGATTATGTTTCTAGGTTTGTCAGCACCATACCCGTGCTCATGGGTTTCACCGAAGTGGTAAACGTCTGAGACCTGCATCATTTCGGTCTTTCCTCCCACATTAAGCTGACACGCCGCGATATAACTGGAATACTGTTAAAAGTGGCGTTAAACCAAACTCACTCACTCACAACAATTTCTGAAAATTTCTCATGAATTTACAGCCCCAGGTGCATTGTCCTATAGGGCGTATAGCCTTGATATTCTCACGCAGTTGCCTTAGCATGATAAAAGTCATTATTGGCCTGACCTTTCAGGAGGCAGATTCTTCCGGAACCCCGCCTTGCCAGTTAATGGAAAGGACTTTGCAGGAGATGTTAGGTGTTTCCACTGCTCTGACCGTTCACCTATGGATAGAAATCGCTCAACATTATCAGATGGGTGTTTCCAGAACGACGTTAATTCTGATGAGGGATGATGAACAGCAGTCACGGACTTGGAACCCGGCATGCTGGAACCTGTGCCATGCCCAGTTCCTTCCTCAGAATGTACTCAACTCTCTCATGAGGGATAACTGCTGTACAGGCTATGCGCCATGTTGTGTCGTCGATCATCCGTCATCATATCAACATTTTCCTTTGTGGTGGCAGGTGAGGTGATGTGAAATGGGGTTTAACCTCGCGTCCAAGATTATTGCACTTATATAGCGACGTGCATGTACGTGTGTGTGTTTGTGTGGCTGCTTGTACTAGTCCGGACTGATGCCGATTTATAGTGAGATACTATGCCGCAGTTTAACATGAATACCCCACTCAGACACAGTATACTGACTCCGAGCCGACCAGTCCTTGTTTTAGCCCCTTAATGCCGAGCGCCAGACAGGGTAACAACAAGTACCATCTTTTAACGTCTTTTGGTATGACGCGGCCGGGGATCGAACCCCGGACCTTCCGCTCTCCGGGCGGACGCTCTACCACTAGACCACGGAGGCGGTCTGTGGTTGTAGGTGGGTGTCTTCCCAAACTTGGACCCTCTTCCTCTCTTGAACTCAACTGTCCACATCAACAGTGACAAAGGAATGACAGACAGCATGTCCACATCGATGTCTGTTGGAGATACAGTAAACTACGTTTATCACGAACACGCTTATAACGAAGTGACGGATATAACGAACTGTTGTTTTTGGTCCCGGCCATTTGCGGTATGCTTTGGTTGAAACGCTTTCAACGAACTCCAGTTATAACGAACAAAAGATATTGGTACCTTTGAGTTCGTTATAACCGTAGTTACTGTACTTGATGACGGCGCGATAGCCAGTCTTTTGTCCATGTTCATTAACAGAGAATCCCCAATCACTTTGATGCCTGCCGATTTATGCAGCATGGTTGCGTATTTGGTTCAAATGCAGCCTGTAAGTATGGAATGTATTGTACATAATACATACACAACATAATACGTACACATTTGTAAGGGTGTACTATATGCATCGTTAGGCTTCGAACTTTTCAGATACCAGTACTTTTCAATACAGCATTCCTTCTTTTTGAACTTATAAGACGAACAGCCGTGTTCTAAAATGATGGACCCGTGAAGATTCCGGGGTAGAATTGGTCTTCAGCATCCAATGCTTGCCGTAAAAGGTGACTATGCTTGTCGTAAAAGGCGACTAACGGGATCGGGTGGTCCGGCTCGCTGACTTGGTTGATACATGTTACCGATCCCAATTGCGTGGGTCGATGCTCATGATATCAATCACTGGATTGTCTGGTCAAGCCTCGATTATTTACAGACCGCCGTCATATAGCTGGAATATTGCGGAGTGCGGCGTTAAACAACAAACCAACCAAATCTAAAATGATGACAATTAAGCTCAGTTTAGACACTATCCGCGCCCGTGAACCCTACAGAGACATGGCACTGAGGTGAGGTGAAATTGGGTTTAACGTCGCGTCCAAGATTATTGCACTTATATAGCGACGTGCATACACGTGTGTGTGTGTGGCTGCTTGTACTAGTCCGGACTGATGCCGATTTATAGTGCTAGCTCACTGAGATACCATGCCGCAGTTAACATGAATACCCCACTCAGACACAGTATACTGACTCCGAGCCGACCAGTCCTTGTTTTAGCCCCTTAATGTCGAGCGCCAGACAGGGTAACAACAAGTTCCATCTTTTAACGTCTTTTGGTATGACGCGGCCGGGGATCGAACACCGGACCTTCCGCTCTCCGGGCGGACGCTCTACCACTAGACCACGGAGGCGGTCGACATGGCACTGATGTCAGGCGTTTGTTCAGACGACGCCAGTGGACGAAACCGTTGACTTAATGTCGACGCCTTTGTTGACAAATGATTATATGATGTCATGGCATATGATCCTCCTAAAGGGCGGACACTGTTAGCGTCTTGGCACGGTATGCCGGTTCCAGGCTCCCTATGCGCGTCGTCAACGTGCGCCAAACTTATATTGCGATATGAAAGACTGGGCCCAGCTTATACTCATTTTGTATATCAGTATGATGACACACGGATGATGTCGGCTTTAAATAGGTTCACTGCATTTCTTTTAGTGTGGTGTTGTGAGTGAGTAGGGTTTTTAACGCCACTTTTAACAATATTCAAGTTATATCATGGCGTGTCAGCTTAATGTGGGCGGAAAGCTCGAAGTGATGCATTTCACAGACGTTTCCCACTTTGGTGAACCCACGAGATGGTGCTGACAGACCTGGAAACATAAACCGGTCGAACCGGGATTCGAACCCATAATCATAGGTTTCTGTCGTGTCCAAGTGACGCAGTCATGCACAATGAATTGCAGTGCCACCCGTGCCCCGTTAATATGATGTTGTTAAAAACATTAATTCGTCACGCCAAAGACCGGGTTCGATTCCCCACATGGGTACAATATGTGAAGCCCGTTTCTATTTTCTCCAGGGGTGTTCTTGCTCCCTGATTCCGGTTCAATCTGGTCGTAAGCGGTTGCTAAATCATTCGGATGTTCAAGCTCGGTGATTTGTTTGATTGTTTGTCGTCGTGCCCCGAAAGCGTGATACATTGCTCATAATATCAACCACAGGTTTGTGTGATCCAGACTCGATTATTTACGTGCCCCGTCATATAGCTGGAATATTGTGTGGCGTAAAAAAACCGGATGCACATGGTTTCGCTTGAATATTGCTTGAAGCGGCGTTAAACCCAACTCCCTCACTCACTTAATATGATTAACATACGTAGCTATCCTATAGCGATAGGGTGGCTCACTGGATAATGTCCTCGATTGTCCCAGTTTGATTCCAACATGAAATTGCAAGAATGATGCCTTGTTTACAATTAATATCAGATATAAGTCTTCAAATAATTTCTCTGCGTATTAAAAATGTAAATATTGAAGTAGTCATTGTTCCAGTCTTCTGCACGATATGAGTGACCTCTTTAACAAATAAACATTAAAAACACCTTGTGTGTACTTGTATGGAAGATCGTCTCAAGCCGAATGCTTGCATATATATATTTAGTCGAAATAATATTGCGAATGCTAGCGAGCGAACTGAGATTTTGCACTTAATAACCCCTTTTGCAAAACATACATAGCCCTAAATACAAAGATTATATAAACAGGTTGCCTAGTGCTTAGCATGTACTGAAAACACGTTCAAGGGAACCCGTCTTATTTCTAGGCCACCGCTAGGGGGCGTGAGACTATATATAGGCCAAACAAACGTTCAGATGCAGATCAGTAGCTGCACAGTGTCAAAACCGGAGCTTGCCGAAAATGGAGGTGTTTGGCCTGCTCGACGTGCCTCTTTGGTTGTTGATGTTGATTGGCGTCTTGACATTATACAGCACGTAAGTAAATATGTTTGGTATGCTGTCAAGGTGGAGGCATCCTTGTACATAAATGACATGTTCGATAATATTAAGCTTACTATCATTCATCGTAGGTGAAGCATACGAGAGTTGAAAAGAAACGTGAATAAAATCGCAAGAATTGGGTAACTGAAAAGTTGGAATGAAAAAATAGACGCTACTTTCTTTAATTAGTTTTTATACATGCATATGTAGTAAATAAACATGAGTTGATAGAAGTTCGTGTTGCAGGCCAAATCTTCACCTGTTTTTAAAGAAGTTTTGTTACAACAATGTTAAATGACATTACTAGCTCAGATGAAAATTATCATGGATCATATTGAATAAACTGGTTATTAAAAGACAATTGGTGATATAACTGACGGACAGATCACCAGAACTGTCAGGATTAAAACTGCAACCAGTGCAGCTTTCCTGAACTAAGGGAGGTAACTTAAGCCAGCCTTCAATCCTCAATAATTCTGGATCTATGCACACTCAGGAACCACTGTTTTTGCCTGTTGATTATGCCAATCTAGAATATAGACTCTATAGACCCTAACTGAATCCTGTGGGAGTTGTTACAGAAAAGTCAAGGGATTAATTATGAGACTGACAGCTGGCAGTGCAGAAGCGCCAGGCCAAAAGGGATATGCACCTGGTGTTGTTACCCAATTGGGGGCATGGGTGGCCCACTTGTCTAAGGCACCGCGGGGCTGTGCAGAGTTCAGTCCCTTGTGGGTTCGAATCCCTGTTTGCCCTGATTATGTTTCTAGGTTTGTCAGCACCATACCCATGCTCATGGGTTTCACCGAAGTGGTAAACGTCTTAGACCTACATCACTTCGGGCTTTCCTCCCACATTAAGCTGACATGCCGCGATATAACTGGAATACTGTAAAAAGTGGCGTTAAACCCAACTCACTCACTCTCTGTTATCCAATCAACAGGTGATTCTGGGTACATTAGGTCGACCTAATGGAACAGGTCATTTGGTTGATAGCTAGACAACCTACCTTAACAGTATGCATTGTTGCTCATTATATCAATCACTGGTTTGTCTGACCAAGACTCGATTATCTACAGCCCGCAGTCATATAGCTGGAATATTAAACAACACCTACAAAGAGAAGTATTCATTTTACATTTTCAGCTCCCCTGGGAGTATACTAGTTTTTCATTTTTATACTTCCATTAGATTGTTCACAGATTATTTTTTCCAATATCTAAAGATTTGTTCAAAATCAGGTTTTAAAATGGATCTTTTGTATTGTATTGAGGGATGGGTGAAAAAACAAACTAACAGGGTTTCGTTTTCCTATTCCCTATGGGGCAGTCAGGTAGGCTAGTGGTTAAAGCGTTCGCTCGTCAACCGAAGACCCAGGTTCGATTCCCGACATGGGTTCAATGTTAGCCCATTTCTGGTGTCCCCTGCCATGATATTGCTGGAATATTGCTAAAAGCAGCGTAAAACCATACTCACTCCTTTTCCCTATATACATCACTGACCCATCATAGACTTCGTGGAAAAAACCCAAACACTTTTGTTCCAAATTTGTGAAATTTGGAAACCAATTAAGCTAAGGAACCTACTAAGATTCAAATTTAATTTGATGTGCTCTGAGCATGAGGGTAAGACGACCTCTGTCTTTTGTTGCCAGGTACATGTCCTGGCATCATGGGATCTTCAAGAAGCTGGGGATAGATGGCCCCCCTCCCAGGCCCATTGTCGGCAACCTGATGACCATCTTGAAGAGTGTGAGTATATCTGACCGAGTGCTTTGATGACATTTTGTTTGTTTGTTTGTTGTTTAACGCGGCACTCAACAATATTCCAGCTGTATGATGGTGGTCTGTAAATAATCAAGTCTGGACCACACAATTCAGTGATTGATATCATGAGCATCGATGTATGCAATTAGGATATGATGACATGCATCAAACAAGTCAGCAAACTGGAACATCTGATCCCATTAGTCACCTCTTACAACAAGCTTAGTCGCCTTTTGGGGCAAGCATGGATTACTGAAGACCTACTCTGACCTGGATCTTCGTGGGTTTGGTTAGGTTTGTGCCTCATATGCAGCTCAAAAAATATATCAAGTCAGCCACTTGACCAAACTATAAACTAAAGTACAGGTGTTTCATAATTACCATTACCATTTGCAGATCAGACAAGTTTATCCTTTTATTTCTCAGGGCTTTGGGTCTACCAGTGTACTGGGGGTGGGTGTGGGTGTGGGGATTATGCTGATACATTATGATGAAACAGAGAGATTGTATTTTTTAATTGGACAGGTTAATGGTATTTGTATCCAAGTGAACATCAATGTACATTAGCCCTGGGTTAAGTAGACCTTTTCAGTATTTTTGTCCCTGATCATGACCCTTTTGTTTTACTTACTTGCTTCAAGTTGATCAAATGCACAGGTGGCGCTGTTATCTAAGGTGCACACATTAAGGTTAAGGCCAACAGTATTATGCATGTTTCAGTCTTGTACAAACAGTATTATGCATGAATACACAATGCCTTCTAGTAGTGTTAGGCATGTTTCAGTTTTGTGAGAATGTTTCAAAGGCAAAACATTGGTAATTATGAGGTAAATTGAAATCAATGAGGGTAATATATTTACAATTCCTTTTGATAATGAATATAAAAAAATAAAATAATTAGTATTATTATTTTTCTTCTCCAAGAGGATTTGAATGAAAGTAATAATTAACATTCAAATATGTTGGACCCTTGGAGTTGAACATGGCCAAATGTATTAATAATAAAAGATAAACTCTTTTGTAAAAAAATATTTTAACTTTACTGTTTCACTCTTTACAAGAGGAAATGAGTAATGCCCATTTTTCTGAAGTCCTTGTCAGAGAACTATTTGTTGTTAGCCTTTGTTGATTTGGTGATGAACTCTTGATGACTATTTCCAGGGAATGCATGGAGCTGACTTGTACTGGTGCCAGACTTATGGAAAGGTGGTGGGGTAAGTTGGTCAGGGTTTGACAGGGTGGTGGGGTGAGTTGGTCAGGGTGTGACAGGACGGTGGGGTAAGTTGGTCAGGGTGTGACAGGACGGTGGGGTAAGTTGGTCAGGGTTTGACAGGACGGTAGGGTAAGTTGGTCAGAGTTTGACAGGGTGGTGGGGTAAGTTGGTCAGGGTTTGACAGGGTTGTGGGGTAAGTTGGTCAGGGTTAGACAGGGTGGTGGGGTAAGTTGGTCAGGGTTAGACAGGGCGGTGGGGTAAGTTGGTCAGGGTTTGACAGGGTGGTGGGGTAAGTTGGTCAGGGTTTGACAGGGTGGTGGGGTGAGTTGGTCAGGGTTAGACAGGGCGGTGGGGTAAGTTGGTCAGGGTTTGACAGGGTGGTGGGGTAAGTTGGTCAGGGTTTGACAGGGTGGTGGGGTGAGTTGGTCAGGGTTAGACAGGGCGGTGGGGTAAGTTGGTCAGGGTTTGACAGGGTGGTGGGGTAAGTTGGTCAGGGTTTGACAGGGTGGTGGGGTGAGTTGGTCAGGGTTAGACAGGGTGGTGGGGTAAGTTGGTCAGGGTTAGACAGGGTTGTGGGGTGAGTTGGTCAGGGTTAGACAGGACGGTGGGGTAAGTTGGTCAGGGTTTGACAGGACGGTAGGGTAAGTTGGTCAGGGTTTGACAGGGTGGTGGGGTAAGTTGGTCAGGGTTAGACAGAGTGGTGGGGTAAGTTGGTCAGGGTTAGACAGGGCGGTGGGGTAAGTTGGTCAGGGTTTGACAGGGTGGTGGGGTAAGTTGGTCAGGGTTAGACAGGGTGGTGGGGTAAGTTGGTCAGAGTTTGACAGGGTGGTGGGGTAAGTTGGTCAGGGTTAGACAGGACGGTGGGGTAAGTTGGTCAGGGTTTGACAGGGTGGTGGGGTAAGTTGGTCAGAGTTTGACAGGGTGGTGGGGTAAGTTGGTCAGGGTTTGACAGGGTGGTGGGGTAAGTTGGTCAGGGTTAGACAGGACGGTGGGGTAAGTTGGTCAGGGTTTGACAGGGTGGTGGGGTAAGTTGGTCAGAGTTTGACAGGGTGGTGGGGTAAGTTGGTCAGAGTTTGACAGGGTGGTGGGGTAAGTTGGTCAGGGTGTGACAGGACGGTGGGGTAAGTTGGTCAGGGTGTGACAGGGTGGTGGGGTAAGTTAGTCAGGGTGTGACAGGGTGGTGGGGTACGTTGGTCAGTGTTTGACAGGGTGGTGGGGTAAGTTGGTCAGGGTGTGACAGGATGGTGGGGTAAGTTGGTCAGGGTGTGACAGGACGGTAGGGTAAGTTGGTCAGGGTTAGACAGGGTAGTGGGGTAAGTTGGTCAGGGTGTGACAGGGTGGTGGGGTAAGTTGGTCAGGGTGTGACAGGACGGTAGGGTAAGTTGGTCAGGGTTAGACAGGGTAGTGGGGTAAGTTGGTCAGAGTTTGACAGGGTGGTGGGGTAAGTTGGTGAGGGTTTGACAGGGTGGTGGGGTAAGTTGGTCAGGGTGTTACAGGACGGTAGGGTAAGTTGGTCAGGGTGTGACAGGATGGTGGGGTAAGTTGATCAGGGTTTGACAGGGTGGTGGGGTAAGTTGACCAGGGTTTGACAGGGTGGTGTGAGTTGGTCAGGGTTAGACAGGGTGGTGGGGTAAGTTGACCAGGGTTTGACAGGGTGGTGGGGTAAGTTGGTCAGGGTTAGACAGGGTGGTGGGGTGAGTTGGTCAGGGTTAGACAGGGTTGTGGGGTAAGTTGGTCAGGGTTAGACAGGGTTGTGGGGTAAGTTGGTCAGGGTTAGACAGGGTGGTGGGGTAAGTTGGTCAGGGTTAGACAGGGTGGTGGGGTAAGTTGGCCAGGGTTTGACAGGGTGGTTGGGTAAGTTGGTCAGGGTTTGACAGGGTGGTGGGGTAAGTTGGCCAGGGTTAGACAGGGTGGTGGGGTAAGTTGGTCAGGGTTAGACAGGGTGGTGGGGTAAGTTGGTCAGTGTTTGACAGGGTGGTGGGGTAAGTTGGTCAGGGTTTGACAGGGTGGTGGGGTAAGTTGGTCAGGGTTAGACAGGGCGGTGGGGTAAGTTGGTCAGTGTTTGACAGGGTGGTGGGGTAAGTTGGTCAGGGTTAGACAGGGTGGTGGGGTAAGTTGGTCAGGGTTAGACAGGGTGGTGGGGTAAGTTGGTCAGTGTTTGACAGGGTGGTGGGGTAAGTTGGTCAGGGTTAGACAGGGTGGTGGGGTAAGTTGGTCAGTGTTTGACAGGGTGGTAGGGTAAGTTGGTCAGTGTTTGACAGGGTGGTGGGGTAAGTTGGTCAGGGTTAGACAGGGTGGTGGGGTAAGTTGGTCAGTGTTTGACAGGGTGGTGGGGTAAGTTGGTCAGGGTTTGACAGGGTGGTGGGGTAAGTTGGTCAGGGTTAGACAGGGTGGTGGGGTGAGTTGGTCAGGGTTTGACAGGGTGGTGGGGTAAGTTGGTCAGGGTTAGACAGGGTGGTGGGGTAAGTTGGTCAGGGTGTGACAGGGTGGTGGGGTAAGTTGGTCAGGGTTTGACAGGGTGGTGGGGTAAGTTGGCCAGGGTTTGACAGGGTGGTGGGGTAAGTTGGTCAGGGTTAGACAGGGTGGTGGGGTAAGTTGGTGAGGGTTTGACAGGGTGGTGGGGTAAGTTGACCAGGGTTTGACAGGGTGGTGTGAGTTGGTCAGGGTTAGACAGGGTGGTGGGGTAAGTTGACCAGGGTTTGACAGGGTGGTGGGGTGAGTTGGTCAGGGTTAGACAGGGTGGTGGGGTGAGTTGGTCAGGGTTAGACAGGGTTGTGGGGTAAGTTGGTCAGGGTTAGACAGGGTTGTGGGGTAAGTTGGTCAGGGTTAGACAGGGTGGTGGGGTGAGTTGGTCAGGGTTAGACAGGGTTGTGGAGTAAGTTGGTCAGGGTGTGACAGGACGGTAGGGTAAGTTGGTCAGGGTGTGACAGGACGGTAGGGTAAGTTGGTCAGGGTTTGACAGGGTGGTGGGGTAAGTTGGTCAGGGTTAGACAGGGTGGTGGGGTAAGTTGATCAGGGTTTGACAGGGTGGTGGGGTAAGTTGACCAGGGTTTGACAGGGTGGTGTGAGTTGGTCAGGGTTAGACAGGGTGGTGGGGTAAGTTAGTCAGGGTTAGACAGGGTGGTGGGGTGAGTTGGTCAGGGTTAGACAGGGTGGTGGGGTAAGTTGACCAGGGTTTGACAGGGTGGTGGGGTAAGTTGGTCAGGGTTAGACAGGGTGGTGGGGTAAGTTGACCAGGGTTAGACAGGGTGGTGGGGTAAGTTGGTCAGGGTTTGACAGGGTGGTGGGGTAAGTTGGTCAGGGTTAGACAGGGTAGTGGGGTAAGTTGGTCAGGGTTTGACAGGGTGGTGGGGTAAGTTGGTCAGGGTTTGACAGGGTGGTGGGGTAAGTTGGTCAGGGTTAGACAGGGTGGTGGGGTAAGTTGGTGAGGGTTTGACAGGGTGGTGGGGTAAGTTGACCAGGGTTTGACAGGGTGGTGTGAGTTGGTCAGGGTTAGACAGGGTGGTGGGGTAAGTTGACCAGGGTTTGACAGGGTGGTGGGGTGAGTTGGTCAGGGTTAGACAGGGTGGTGGGGTGAGTTGGTCAGGGTTAGACAGGGTTGTGGGGTAAGTTGGTCAGGGTTAGACAGGGTTGTGGGGTAAGTTGGTCAGGGTTAGACAGGGTGGTGGGGTGAGTTGGTCAGGGTTAGACAGGGTTGTGGAGTAAGTTGGTCAGGGTGTGACAGGACGGTAGGGTAAGTTGGTCAGGGTGTGACAGGACGGTAGGGTAAGTTGGTCAGGGTTTGACAGGGTGGTGGGGTAAGTTGGTCAGGGTTAGACAGGGTGGTGGGGTAAGTTGATCAGGGTTTGACAGGGTGGTGGGGTAAGTTGACCAGGGTTTGACAGGGTGGTGTGAGTTGGTCAGGGTTAGACAGGGTGGTGGGGTAAGTTAGTCAGGGTTAGACAGGGTGGTGGGGTGATTTGGTCAGGGTTAGACAGGGTGGTGGGGTAAGTTGACCAGGGTTTGACAGGGTGGTGGGGTAAGTTGGTCAGGGTTAGACAGGGTGGTGGGGTAAGTTGACCAGGGTTAGACAGGGTGGTGGGGTAAGTTGGTCAGGGTTTGACAGGGTGGTGGGGTAAGTTGGTCAGGGTTAGACAGGGTAGTGGGGTAAGTTGGTCAGGGTTTGACAGGGTGGTGGGGTAAGTTGGTCAGGGTTTGACAGGGTGGTGGGGTAAGTTGGTCAGGGTTAGACAGGGTGGTGGGGTAAGTTGACCAGGGTTTGACAGGGTGGTGTGAGTTGGTCAGGGTTAGACAGGGTGGTGGGGTAAGTTGACCAGGGTTTGACAGGGTGGTGGGGTGAGTTGGTCAGGGTTAGACAGGGTGGTGGGGTGAGTTGGTCAGGGTTAGACAGGGTTGTGGGGTAAGTTGGTCAGGGTTAGACAGGGTTGTGGGGTAAGTTGGTCAGGGTTAGACAGGGTGGTGGGGTGAGTTGGTCAGGGTTAGACAGGGTTGTGGAGTAAGTTGGTCAGGGTGTGACAGGACGGTAGGGTAAGTTGGTCAGGGTGTGACAGGACGGTAGGGTAAGTTGGTCAGGGTTTGACAGGGTGGTGGGGTAAGTTGGTCAGGGTTAGACAGGGTGGTGGGGTAAGTTGATCAGGGTTTGACAGGGTGGTGGGGTAAGTTGACCAGGGTTTGACAGGGTGGTGTGAGTTGGTCAGGGTTAGACAGGGTGGTGGGGTAAGTTAGTCAGGGTTAGACAGGGTGGTGGGGTGAGTTGGTCAGGGTTAGACAGGGTGGTGGGGTAAGTTGACCAGGGTTTGACAGGGTGGTGGGGTAAGTTGGTCAGGGTTAGACAGGGTGGTGGGGTAAGTTGACCAGGGTTAGACAGGGTGGTGGGGTAAGTTGGTCAGGGTTTGACAGGGTGGTGGGGTAAGTTGGTCAGGGTTAGACAGGGTAGTGGGGTAAGTTGGTCAGGGTTTGACAGGGTGGTGGGGTAAGTTGGTCAGGGTTTGACAGGGTGGTGGGGTAAGTTGGTCAGGGTTAGACAGGGTGGTGGGGTAAGTTGACCAGGGTTAGACAGGGTGGTGGGGTAAGTTGGTCAGGGTTTGACAGGGTGGTGGGGTGAGTTGGTCAGGGTTAGACAGGGTGGTGGGGTGAGTTGGTCAGGGTTAGACAGGGTGGTGGGGTAAGTTGACCAGGGTTAGACAGGGTGGTGGGGTAAGTTGGTCAGGGTTTGACAGGGTGGTGGGGTGAGTTGGTCGGGGTTAGACAGGGTGTTGGGGTAAGTTGGTCAGGGTTAGACAGGGTGGTGGGGTGAGTTGGTCGGGGTTAGACAGGGTGTTGGGGTAAGTTGGTGAGGGTTTGACAGGGTGGTGGGGTAAGTTGGTGAGGGTTTGACAGGGTGGTGGGGTAAGTTGGTCAGGGTTAGACAGGGTGGTGGGGTAAGTTAGTCAGGGTTAGACAGGGTGGTGGGGTGAGTTGGTCAGGGTTAGACAGGGTTGTGGGGTGAGTTGGTCAGGGTTAGACAGGGTGGTGGGGTAAGTTAGTCAGGGTTTGACAGGGTGGTGGGGTAAGTTGGTCAGGGTTAGACAGGGTTGTGGGGCGAGTTGGTCAGGGTTAGACAGGGTGGTGGGGTAAGTTGGTCAGGGTTAGACAGGGCGGTGGGGTAAGTTGGTCAGGGTTAGACAGGGTGGTGGGGTAAGTTGGTCAGGGTTAGACAGGGTGGTGGGGTGAGTTGGTCGGGGTTAGACAGGGTGTTGGGGTAAGTTGGTGAGGGTTTGACAGGGTGGTGGGGTAAGTTGGTGAGGGTTTGACAGGGTGGTGGGGTAAGTTGGTCAGGGTTTGACAGGGTGGTGGGGTAAGTTGGTCAGGGTTAGACAGGGTGGTGGGGTAAGTTGGTCAGGGTGTGACAGGGTGGTGGGGTAAGTTGGTCAGGGTTTGACAGGGTGGTGGGGTAAGTTGGTCAGAGTTTGACAGGACGCTGGGGTAAGTTGGTCAGGGTTTGACAGGGTTGTTGGGTAGCCTTGTGGTCAAAGTGTTCGCTGGTCACCCAAAGAGCTAAGTTGGTCAGGGTTTGACAGGACAGTGGGGTAAGTTGGTAAGTGTTTGACAGGATGGTGGGGTAAGTTGGTCAGGGTTTGACAGGACGGTGGGGTAGCCTTGTGGTCAAAGTGTTCGCTGGTCACCCCAAAAGCTAAGTTGGTCAGGGTTTGACAGGACAGTGGGGTAAGTTGGTCAGTGTTTGACAGGATGGTGGGGTAAGTTGGTCAGGGTTTGACAGGACGGTGGGGTAGCCTTGTGGTCAAAGTGTTCCCTGGTCACCCCAAAAGCCTGGGTTTGATTCCCCACATTGGTAGAATGTGTGAAGTCCATTTCTTGTAACCTGCCGTCGTGATATTGCTAGGGGTGACGAGGTAGCCTCGTGGTTAAGGCGTTTGCTCGTCATGCCGATGCCCCGGGTTTGATTCCCCATGTGGGTACGATGTGTGAAGCCCATTTCTGGTGTCCCTGCCCGGTCGAACTCACTCACTCATTCTGGGTTTGACAAGATGTATCTTCCTAAAATTTCAGTCACAATGACCAGCAAGATAATGAGAACCATTTCAGACTAATCATAGCTGATATATGTTAAAGCCAATGTACTTTGAACAGAGTTTGTGTGCATTTCTCCCCACTAGACAACAGACTAAAATAACTTACTGACAAATGTGAAAAGAAACCTATCAAATATCACATATGTATTTATATTTTGGCCTAGCAAAGTTAATTTGTTAGATTAATAATTCCTCCAGCCACTAAAAGGTTGAGGTCCTGGTTGTAGTAAGGAAGTTTATTGCAGGATCTTCATGACCCGGTTGCCGATGCTTCTGATATCAGATGACGAGATGATGAAACAGATAATGGTGAAAGACTTCAACCTTTTCCCCAACAGACAGGTCAGATATCTATAGTATCAAACATTCAATTTCACTTAGAAGTGACAGACAGTGAAAACTTTAGAAATATCCCAGTGTTAAGTTTAAGCTCACCTGGAATCCATGTTTTGGTTATGTAATGGCATGTTATGATGCCTGCAGTTGGCCTACTCTTTCTTGTGTGCATATTTGCCAGCTTACAAAGTGGTACAATTTCTTCAAGATCAGATCCTTTAGTCCAATAAAATAAGATGTGTGTTATGAGATGTTGCATCAAATCAACCCTAAACTTTAAATGCCCAGTCTAAAACAAGCATGTTTGGGTTTTTGAGCCAGTCACATGTCAGCATTCTAAAATGATAACTGTTCATTTCTTTGTCTCCTCAATTTGAAAATTTGATCCCAGCAAAGGAAGATCAACACAGAACACAGTATACAATCCATAGTACACCCTTTTGGCTGCAGATGCCATGCCACTCAGAAACGACAGCATGAAATAAAACAACAAAAAATCAGACCAGTTTCTTATTTTGCATTTCGATCTCCCTGATGATATTCAAGTTACAGATATCAGATATGCTTATCTGAATGCTTTGCTCACTCATACCATGAATTTAGGAGCATTGAGGCAGATTGGCCGAATAGAAGGTAACCTGAATCTGACCTGACCCCCTATGGATATGTGGTCAGATCTTCATGCTATCGGAGTAAAGGTCTGATTTTAATGAGATTACAAGTCGTATGCATTGCTGTCTGTCACTCCATTCACTGTTTGACTTTTTGATGATATTTTCAACCATAGTGGGACTTAAATTTGTTCATGACAGTAGAATAATTTAATTTGATTAAATATGGATTTAAACATTTATTTTAATCAAGCCCAGCATGTATTTTTTCTTTATCAAGCATAGGGCAGTATCATCTTTTTTACAACATATTCTATGGTTCTAATGATACTTTTCATTGGTTGTCAAATTTCTACCTGTGGGGTATTCCACCAGTTCTGTATGTATGTAATGTATGGGTTAGCTTGAGCTTTGTTTCTCAATACAGGAGATTCCCAAGGCAATGGTTGGCTTCCCGATGGATCAGTCTCTGGTTTTCTCAAAAGATGACCATTGGAGATTCATTCGGAACTTCATGACGCCAACGTTTAGTGCAGGCAAGCTGAAGAGGGTAAGACTCTTTATCTTTATTTATCATTGACAAGCTTTAATTCGATCAGTTCCCCGACAAGGATTCTAGGGCAGAATCAGTCGCCAGTACCCCATGTTTGTAATTAAAACTTAATGAGGATCAGGTGGTCACAATGTGTGACCTGTTTGATGTGTGTTGTCATATATTGACAGAGTGGAGACCACATCCATTGTCTAATGGACATGAGGAAGAGTGGGGGCTTGATCCCCGAGTGCGTCATTTCAAAGACGTTAAAAGATGGTAATAATGTTGTTACCCTGTCTGGGGTTTGGTGTGAAGGAGATGTATACTGTGTCTGAGTGGGTTTTTTATGTTAAACTGGGGCATGGTATCTGAGTGGGCTAGTACTATAAAACCGGCATTAGTCTGGACTAGTACAAGCAGCCACATACACATCCACTATGTGTTCAGGGCTAGCATTTTGATAAATGTACGCTATCCCCAGGATCCATTCCCATGGTTCTCGCAATCTCAAATTACCCACCCTTGAGTTACATTTGCCAATTTTATTGGCAATGCTTCTAGGTCTAATGTACCGATCAGAATTCGAGTTACAAACTAGCCTCAATGTACGGTTCGCAATATCAACAACATGGCGGCCTGTCCCATTGATTAGGATCAAGTTTGCGAGAAATTCAACATTAAAAAACTTACTGACATGCAAAAGAAAGCCCTTAAGAATCTTTTCGATGGAAAAGATGTTTTCTTGTCCCTTATAACTGGTGGTGGCTTTGGTTTCTAGGTAATAAGAGTTACCCCCCCTTACCCTTTCCCTTGCCCATATGTCAACTTTTGATTGGTCAGTAAAATGTCAATAAAAGTAATGGGTGGGTATTCTGGGAATGGATACATGGGTTAGTGTATGGGTTTACCGAAATGCGATCCCTGGAGATATGGAGGATACCACACATAGTGAGAGTATGAATTGAGTTTTACGCCACACTGAACAGTATTTCGGTTACATCAAGGGGTGTCTAGTTTAATATGGAGAAAAGAGATGCAGGCTGCAGACAGGGCTGTAGAAACTCCAGTGAAACCCACAACAACTGGAATAATGTTGATCAGCGGATCCTGCAGGACCTAAGACCACGGCGGCCACTCATGACCCTGATAAAGGTTTTGAAATGTTCATCTGTCCATGTTATTTCTGCCCTCCTATAATCATGATAATCATTTCCTTTCAGGAGCAAAATTCATGTCTTTCATAGTACTCTTTGAAACTTTCCACACATAGCAATGTTAAGTGGATTCTCTTGCTGTTTATGGAGTTTTAGCTCATGAGACCAAAGGTACAAGTGAGCTTCATGATTAGGCGTGTTGTCCTTAGTCTGTGCATCGTCAATCCACAGGAAATGATGCACTCGAAACTTAAGGAGGATACCTAGCACAATGATAGGACAAGGTTTGCCAATTGGCTTAGTCCATCTTTAACATCACTAAATATATAATAGGAGTCTACCTGGTGAGCAATGTCTTGGCAATATTTTAAGATTTAATTTTGTTATTTGAATTATATATAACACCATCAACTGATGATAGGTTCATTTCACAGGAACTCGATGATAGCGTGTATAACATCATATATTCGTATAGAAAAAAATCACACCCCTCTATATGCATAGTCTCTATGTATATAGAGGGATGTGATTTTTTTCTATACGAATATATTATGTTATACAAGCTATCATCAAGAAAAAAATCACACCCCTCTATATACATAGTCTCTATGTATATAGAGGGATGTGATTTTTTTTCTATAGGAATATATTATGTTATACACGCTATCATCGAGAAAAAAATCACACCCCTCTATATACATAGTCTCTATGTATATAGAGGGATGTGATTTTTTTCTACAGGAATATATTATGTTATACACGCTATCATTGAGTTCCTGTGGTTCATTTGAGATCTAATCCACAAAGTGTTAGTTAAGTATGTCAGTCTAGCAATATGGACATAACATGTATGCAGTCTGTCTCATGGTCAGATGATGCCGGTAATCAACAGGATGAGTGACAGGCTGGTGGACCTGTTGACCGAGCGGGCGGAGAACAAGGAGGAGGTGGAGATAAAAAAGTAACTAAATTGTGGATATTTTATATGAAGTTAGGATAAAGTCAGTGCCCAATACTTTCAATGTTACTAGATCAGAAGGAATGCCACAAGACTCTGGTTTCCGACTTGTTGCTTAAGTCTAAGGCTGCTGATGAGTGTTCCTGTTCTAGTGAATTAGTTGTTCTGGTGAAGTGTTTTTTACGTATTCTTTGACCCTAAGTCTCACTAATTTCATTATTTTCTCCACACTTGATTAATAGGGGAAAGGAGGTACCCCATTGACTTAATTTGTAAATAACCTCTCTGTGTGATCTCCTTTCATGTCATCGCTTTTAAAGGAACGTTTTAACAAATTATTTAGTTTTAGACAAACAACTCTCTTTTAAGATAAATAAAATTAAAAGTATTCAAATTCAAGTTGCAGTTGAAACATGAAGTATCGCATGGGTGCTTTTGTGTAGGACTGATACCACTATGTGTGCAACATCTTGTCAACTTATGAAAGATTTTGTGCAAGAACAAAAGATATTGACTTTCTTTTCCTCATCCTTCCCAATATTCTAGAAAAAGGACCTTAGTTACTTAGTTTCAAGATATGTTCAATTTATCAGCCATTATGTCTAAAAACTGCGATTATTACATAAACAGGTATAAGCATGATAAGTCTGAAAATGGGACTTTGCAGAAAATGAGTCCAAATGTTTGATGCCACATATCTCTGTAATCAATATAAATTGAAGCTTATGAATGGTACTTTTATGGTCCTGAGAAACCGTAGTTTTAAAATATATAAAGAAGTCAAAATGTGATTTTTCACCCATAAGGTATCTGTGTCATGGTTAGTCATGATTATTGACAGGCCATCATGATATGGCTGAAATATTGCTGACCACAGCATAAAACAACATTCACTCTCTCCCTTATCCAAGAGTCTTCATTGTGGGAGTAAGTGTTGGCTGTTGTGTGGCAGGTTTCTGGAGAAGTACACCATGGACGTGATAGCTGGGACTGCATTTGGAATGGATGTCAATGCCCTCAACAACGAAGACGACCCATTTGTCAAGAACGCCAAGACCATCCTGTCTAATGGCCTGAACTCAGCATACATTGTTTTTATAAGTAAGTTTTCCATGGTTAATCTTTATTCAGGTGTCTGTACTGATAGAAAGAAGGGAGCGACACTAAGGGACGCATGTAATTATTCAGGACATTTTGTACATGCTAGATGCAAACATTACTCTTAGTCTGTGTGGCAGCTTTTAGTTGTCCGGAATAATGCTGATTTTATAGTGCTAGCCCACTGAGATACCATGCCATAGCTTAACATGAATACCCTACTCAGACACGGTATACTGACTCCCGAGCCGACCAGTCCTTGTTTTAGGCCTTTTAGGCCGAGTGCCAGACAGGGTAACAACAAGTTCCATCATTTGAACTTCTCTGGTATGACATGGCGGGGGATGGAACCATCAAAATTTTGTACATGCTAGATGCAAACATTACTCTTAGTCTGTGTGGCAGCTTTTAGTTGTCCGGAATAATGCTGATTTTATAGTGCTAGCCCACTGAGATACCATGCCATAGCTTCACATGAATACCCTACTCAGACACGGTATACTGACTCCCGAGCCAACCAGTCCTTGTTTTAGGCCTTTTATGCCGAGTGCCAGACAGGGTAACAACAAGTTCCATCATTTGAACTTCTCTGGTATGACATGGCGGGGGATGGAACCATCAACATTTTGTACATGCTAGATGCAAACATTACTCTTAGTCTGTGTGGCAGCTTTTAGTTGTCCGGAATAATGCTGATTTTATAGTGCTAGCCCACTGAGATACCATGCCATAGCTTCACATGAATACCCTACTCAGACACGGTATACTGACTCCCGAGCCAACCAGTCCTTGTTTTAGGCCTTTTAGGCCGAGTGCCAGACAGGGTAACAACAAGTTCCATCATTTGAACTTCTCTGGTATGACATGGCGGGGGATGGAACCATCAACATTTTGTACATGCTAGATGCAAACATTACTCTTAGTCTGTGTGGCAGCTTTTAGTTGTCCGGAATAATGCTGATTTTATAGTGCTAGCCCACTGAGATACCATGCCATAGCTTAACATGAATACCCTACTCAGACACGGTATACTGACTCCCGAGCCAACCAGTCCTTGTTTCAGGCCTTTTATGCCGAGTGCCAGACAGGGTAACAACAAGTTCCATCATTTGAACTTCTCTGGTAGGACATGGCAGGGGATGGAACCATCAACTTTCTGCTGGGAAAGACAATGTACCATATTTGTTGTAGTAAACGCCCTTGACCAACTTGTAGATCAGTCTGTCAGTAGTCTTAATAAGCACCCTATACTAAGCCCAACATTTTACATGAAAGTCCATATTTCTTTGCGTGTATTACATATCTGTTCACAGAAAACACAGCAGTGTAGGAGGGATGTATAATTGCCTCACTACTGTTATCACAGAAACTTTAGTTTCACAGATGATTGATGTAAGACTGATCTCTATTGCTTGATCTCTGTTTTTCTAAGTTCCCAGGGCGCTTATTACAGTGAATATGGCACATGTGTTGATGGCTATAAGGCCAAGGGTTGAAACATTTGTTTTGGACATTTGACCATGGTAACTGTTGTGTATGGCAATGCTAACATGCATAGTTACATTCATTGTTGCATGTTAATAACATGTTAATAACATATTGTTGATATTTAGGTACTTGATTCATATTTGTCAATTAATTCTCAATACTTAACAGAGAAGTTTATGTGAAGTGTCTGTCTTTTGAATACAAACTTCATATTCAGATTGGCTACAGTGACATGGCAGTGTTTTGGTTTGAACGAACATTCTGAATTAGGATAGTGATGGAGTACTGGTGATCATGCGTTCCTGATGTAAAACATCTTTGTTCACTCTTTCAGCCTTCTTCCCCTTCCTCATCCCACTGACGTCGTTGCTTGGTTACCACTTGTTCCCTGAATCCAACATGAACTTCTTTGTCAAGGTGACCAACAAGATCCTTGAGGAGAGGAAAATTGATCCATCGGTGAGAATAGAGGGCTGGTTTAATTTGGCATTTCAGAGCAGAGTAGGGGGTAAGGGTGGCCCAGTCATCAATGGCGCCGCAATACGCTGTACAGAGTTATGTTCCAGAAACCTATGAATGTGGGTCCGAATCCCCGATTATGTTTCTAGGTTTGCAGCATACACACCATGCTAATGAGTAAGGTGCAAACCACCAAAGTGGTAAACGTCCAAGACCTGCATCACTTCAGGCTTTCCTCACACATCAAGCTGACCCACTGTGGTAGACATGGTAGAACTGGAATACTGTTCAAAGCAGTGTTAAACCCCACTCACTCACTCAGGGCGGAGTAGATCACAGTTTTCTCTTCATAGGTGATGATTCAATTTGGGATCAGTTGTCCAAGATGTGGGTGTGGGCTCAATGTGGGAGGAAAGCTGAAGTGAGGCATGGTCATGGTCATTTGCCCCACTGCATCAACCAAGTCAGCAAGTAAGACCACCCGATCACGTTAGTCGCCTTTTTTACCCTGATCTATAAAAGTCCAGATTCCACCCTTGCTGAACTAGACTATGAGTCAATGTCCAATATAGTCCAATCAAAATCGCGTAACGAAATTGACAGTCAGTTCGTAAATTGATGTGCAGATTTTGGTCGATTGCAGGATTTGCAAAGCATGTGTATTGACAACTTAACAGATGCAGATGTAAAGCAGATGCAAATGATATGAGAGGTGGAATCTGATTGGTCTACAGGAGGGACATGGAAGGGGCATAACTTGTATTAGCCACTGGTAGTGCTACTTTAGCGGCCATAAAATGTCCGAGTCCCGTGATGGGATTCAACCTTCTGATCAGAAGTCGGACGCCTTGTCCACATGACCAAAGAGGTTAACCCTGTCAGCAAGCTGACAAGGTAAGGATGTCATCTGTGGGATGACTCCATGCCCTGCTACACTACAATCAAACCCAGAAATTCCAGCCTAGTTTGGCAAGGTTGGAAACTGGACTTTCATAGTCAGTTAACTCCCTTGCCCCAGAAAGATGGAAATTGAGGATTGTTGCCCATATTATCAACCACAGTTTTTTTCTGCTCCAAACATTATTGCATGAAATAAACTGCCATGAAATAGTTGCAGTAATGCTAAGTAACATCATCAGATGCATTCACTCTTGCTGAGTAAGTGAGTGAGTTAGTTGGGTGTAAACCAAAGTATTCCAGTTATATCACGGCAAGTCAGCTTGATGTGGGAGGAAAGCCCGAAGAGATGCAGGTCTTGGAAAATTTAACACTTGGGTAAAACCCACAAGTACGGGTAGAAACCTAGAAACATAATCGTGGAGAGCCGGGATTTGAACAGGTTTTTGTCATGCCCAGGGATGCAACTCTGGACAGCAAATTACAGCGCTTTAGACAAATGGCCCACCTGTGCCCCCCACTCACACAGATTGTTATGTACACCTTTGCAATATGAAGGTTGAAAGGTTTTGAGCTACATGTTCCCCTCTGTCTTGGTGGTGCAGAGCAGCAAATACACAGACTTCATTCAGCTGATGGTGAATGCAGACGAGGAGAAGCGACAGACGATGCAACAGAATGGTGGAGACACTTCCAGCAGCAATGGCCAACCTGCAGGTAAGCCCTAGACTACTTGATTTTCTTCCTAGAAGTATAATTCTGAGATGTGTCTGGAAAGTGCAGGAATGAGTTCGGCATTATCTTCAGGCCTGACCAGGGACGAAATTAGTGCTGCCGCGCTGCTGTTCTTCATCGCTGGCTACGACACGACTGCTTCTACCATGTCTTTCTGCGTGTATAACATCGCCACCCACCCCGAGGTGCAGGAGCGGCTGGTAGCCGAGATAGAGACTGTGCTGGGGGACCAAGAGCCGGATTATGACAGTATTCAGAAACTGGAGTACCTGGAAATGTGTTTGTCAGAAACACTCAGGCTTCACCCCGCTTCTGTCAGGTAGGCTTTATGATGGAGAAGTATCTGTCAGAGATGTCGTCAGGTTGTGGACCTGATCTATCTGTGTCTGAAGCGAACATCATTATCCAAATTTTCTCAAATAGGATTTTCAGTGACTCATTGATGCAAAGTCTACCAAAGTGTGTTTCAATATAAATTGTTCACCGTTCCCTTTGATGTACTCTCTGTGTTAATTCATGTTCCTTGAGCACGTAAATATCCAGAAAAAGGCAGCTTACACCATTTCATTGATATACACACTTCTGGTTGCTAACAGTTTGGCAAACTGAGCAGGGAACATATAAAATGTTCCTTACATGTTAACAGGGTACATTGAAAATAACAGAATGGGTCTCAGCCAATCAGAATCCTCCATTCATGTGTAAATAGGTTAAATGAGATAAGATGAGATTAGCCACTTTATTCATCCATCTTTAAGAATGTGGCTCAAGTGATGTTGGTGTGTGAGACGTGTGCTTCCTGCTGTTTCCCAGGGTGGATCGAACCTGCACCAAGGACATGGAGGTCAAGGGCGTGAAGATCCCCAAGGGCATGACAGTGGGGATTCCCATCTATGCCATCCACCACGACAGTGACCGCTGGGACAGGCCTGAAGAGTATGACCCAGAGAGGTAGGCTGACAAATGATCACATATGGCTGAGAGTTACGAGTTTTGACAAGGGAGCAATTGTAAATATTCTCCTCAGGGCTCTGGAAGCAGAGTCTGGGAGACCTGACTGTTTTTGATAACCCTCCCCTGATTTTCTATTTCCGATCCCCATGGCCCTAATCTGTCAATTTCATGTTGTGATGAGTTGGAGACCATTTATCATCCAAAACTGGCTCCCACAGGAGATATATAATATAATATCACTCAATGCATATGTATAACAGACTGTCCTTAAAGGTGAGGTGAGGTGAAATTGAGTTTAATGTCGCGTCCAAGATTATTGCACGTGTGTGTGTGTGACTGCTTGTACTAATCCGGACTGATGCCGATTTATAGTGCTAGACCACTGAGATACCATGCCGCAGTTTAACATAAATACCCCACTCAGACACAGTATACTGACTCCGAGCCGACCAGTCCTTGTTTTAGCCCCTTAATGCCGAGCGCCAGACAGGGTAACAACAAGTACCATCTTTTAACGTCTTTTGGTATGACGCGGCCGGGGATCGAACCCCAGACCTTCCGCTCTCCGACGGACGCTCTACCACTAGACCACGGAGACGGTCTGTCAGTCAATTTCAGCCTCGGCACGGATCGAGTCAACACTACGATAGTTTAGATGTGCATTTCTTTGTTTGTTCAGAATTGGGTGATATCAAGCAATATCTGTATTGTAGATATCGCTGCAATGAAATTGCATCACAATGCTTTGCAGACCATTGTGACATCATTGGTTCCCATGACGTCACAATCAAATGACATCACTAATGGCTCTGCTACTGAAACTGTTAGCATTACTTTTTACACTTTCACTTTCACACAAGGCACTGGTTACGATGTCTCACTTTCACACAAGGCACTGGTTACGATGTCTCACTTTCACACAAGGCACTGGTTACGATGTCTCACTTTCACACAAGGCACTGGTTAAGATGTCTTACTTTCACACAAGGCACTAGTTACGATGTCTTACTTTCACACAAGGCACTGGTTAAGATGTCTTACTTTCACACAAGGCACTGGTTAAGATGTCTTACTTTCACACAAGGCACTAGTTACGATGTCTCACTTTCACACAAGGCACTGGTTAAGATGTCTCACTTTCACACAAGGCACTGGTTACGATGTCTCACTTTCACACAAGGCACTGATTACGATGTCTCACTTTCACACAAGGCACTGGTTACGATGTCTCACTTTCACACAAGGCACTGGTGATGATGTCTCACTTTCACACAAGGCACTGGTTAAGATGTCTTACTTTCACACAAGACGCTAGTTACGATGTCTTACTTTCACACAAGGCACTAGTTACGATGTCTTACTTTCACACAAGGCACTAGTTATGATGTCTCACTTTCACACAAGGCACTGGTTAAGATGTCTTACTTTCACACAAGGCACTAGTTACGATGTCTTACTTTCACACAAGGCACTAGTTATGATGTCTCACTTTCACACAAGGCACTGGTTAAGATGTCTTACTTTCACACAAGACGCTAGTTACGATGTCTTACTTTCACACAAGGCACTAGTTACGATGTCTTACTTTCACACAAGGCACTAGTTATGATGTCTCACTTTCACACAAGGCACTGGTTAAGATGTCTTACTTTCACACAAGGCACTAGTTACGATGTCTTACTTTCACACAAGGCACTGGTTAAGATGTCTTACTTTCACACAAGGCACTAGTTACGATGTCTTACTTTCACACAAGGCACTAGTTATGATGTCTTACTTTCACACAAGGCACTAGTTACGATGTCTCACTTTCACACAAGGCACTGGTGAAGATGTCTTACTTTCACACAAGACGCTAGTTACGATGTCTTACTTTCACACAAGGCACTAGTTACGATGTCTTACTTTCACACAAGGCACTAGTTATGATGTCTTACTTTCACACAAGGCACTAGTTACGATGTCTCACTTTCATACAAGGCACGGGTGAAGATGTCTTACTTTCACACAAGGCACTAGTTACGATGTCTTACTTTCACACAAGGCACTAGTTACGATGTCTTACTTTCACACAAGGCACTAGTTACGATGTCTTACTTTCACACAAGGCACTAGTTACGATGTCTTACTTTCACACAAGGCACTAGTTACGATGTCTCACTTTCACACAAGGCACTGGTTATGATGTCTTACTTTCACACAAGGCACTAGTTATGATGTGTTACTTTCACACAAGGCACTAGTTACGATGTCTCACTTTCACACAAGGCACTAGTTACGATGCCTTACTTTCACACAAGGCACTAGTTACGATGTCTTACTTTCACACAAGGCACTAGTTACGATGTCTCACTTTCACACAAGGCACTGGTTATGATGTCTTACTTTCACACAAGGCACTAGTTATGATGTGTTACTTTCACACAAGGCACTAGTTACGATGTCTCACTTTCACACAAGGCACGGGTGAAGATGTCTTACTTTCACACAAGGCACTAGTGAAGATGTCTTACTTTCACACAAGGCACTGGTTACGATGTCTTACTTTCACACAAGGCACTAGTTACGATGCCTTACTTTCACACAAGGCACTAGTTACGATGTCTTACTTTCACACAAGGCACTAGTTATGATGTCTTACTTTCACACAAGGCACTAGTTACAATGTTTTACTTTCACACAAGGCACTAGTTATGATGTCTTACTTTCACACAAGGCACTAGTTACGATGTCTTACTTTCACACAAGGCACTAGTTACGATGTCTTACTTTCACACAAGGCACTAGTTATGATGTCTTACTTTCACACAAGGCACTAGTTACAATGTTTTACTTTCACACAAGGCACTAGTTACGATGTCTTACTTTCACACAAGGCACTAGTTACGATGTCTTACTTTCACACAAGGCACTAGTTATGATGTCTTACTTTCACACAAGGCACTAGTTACGATGTCTTACTTTCACACAAGACGCTAGTTATGATGTCTTACTTTCACACAAGGCACTAGTTACGATGTCTTACTTTCACACAAGGCACTAGTTACGATGTCTTACTTTCACACAAGGCACTAGTTACGATGTCTTACTTTCACACAAGGCACTAGTTACGATGTCTTACTTTCACACAAGGCACTAGTTACGATGTCTTACTTTCACACAAGGCACTAGTTACGATGTCTTACTTTCACACAAGGCACTAGTTACGATGTCTTACTTTCACACAAGGCACTAGTTACGATGTCTTACTTTCACACAAGGCACTAGTTACGATGTCTTACTTTCACACAAGGCACTAGTTATGATGTCTTACTTTCACACAAGGCACTAGTTACAATGTTTTACTTTCACACAAGGCACTAGTTATGATGTCTTACTTTCACACAAGGCACTAGTTACAATGTTTTACTTTCACACAAGGCACTAGTTATGATGTCTTACTTTCACACAAGGCACTAGTTACAATGTTTTACTTTCACACAAGGCACTAGTTATGATGTCTTACTTTCACACAAGGCACTAGTTACAATGTTTTACTTTCACACAAGGCACTAGTTATGATGTCTTACTTTCACACAAGGCACTAGTTACAATGTTTTACTTTCACACAAGGCACTAGTTATGATGTCTTACTTTCACACAAGGCACTAGTTACAATGTTTTACTTTCACACAGCTATACTGTCTTTGCTGTACTGAATATGGGCAGCTGACCAAGTGGTTGTCTCCCTTTAAATAATGATAATGCACCTGGTATCGGGATTATTTACGGAACTCAAAGCTCCATGTTTTCGCAGTGTGGTAATGCTCTATGATTTCTGTCAGATTTAGCGCTGAAAACCGGAGCAAGCATGGCCCATTTGACTACCTTCCATTTGGAAATGGACCCAGGAACTGTATCGGAATGAGGCTTGCTTTAGTGGAGGCAAAGATAACACTTATCAAGCTTTTTAAGAATTTCAAATTCTCATCAAGCTCAAAAACACAGGTAGGTGTGTCATGTAGCATGCTTAGGAAAAGTGAGCGACAATACTTATAAGTGAGTGAATGAATATTATTTTAGGCCACAGTCAGCATAAGTCTAGCTATAGTGCAGTGACCTGAAGAAAATGAAGCCTTGGCCAGGCAAGCCAGTGGCTGACAGAGTGAACATCCATGCCATCATGATGCAAAATATACTAGAGGGTGGGGTAGTAAACTATCTTTTAAATAAAATTATTTGTTGACATGTTTTCAACAAAAATAACTATTAATTCATGAAGTTTTGGACCAAGTTATGGCCAGGACCAAAGAAACAGTTTGTTAAATCCGTCAGCTCATTATAAGCGTGTTTGTTATAAACATAGCTTACTGTACTTTATTATCATTAAGATTTTGATGTTGTTTTCTTCTGAATGAATTCCCTACAGATTCCCCTGACGTTCATGCTGTCTGCATTACTGAGGCCTGCTCAGGGTCTCTGGATCCGGATTGAGAAGAGGTAGACGATTTGTCTTGAATGTGTGACAGACTAGGGCCAAAACAGCAGCTTTTGTATTTCATGTATGACCATGTCCCTCATTTGAATGTTACCATGTTGGTATTGTGATTTTAATATGACTTAAAACAGCTTTAATACTGGAATGGCAGTGAAATAGTGATAAAAAATTGTTTCAAACAAGTAAATACATATATTTTTTCATGTTGATATTGGTTATTTTACAAATGTCCTTCAAAATGATGTGTGGTATTCAACTGAAGCATGAAATTTGAAACCTCTGAAATGACCTGATTATCAAACATGTATTCCGGGAGCCACTATATCTATGTACACCGATTGTTTTCAACTAACCACGATGTTGGAAACTGTCTTGTGTTTATTTTGTTGTAATGTTTACTATAACATGTCTTTAGTGTATGTCTCTTTTAGTGTTCTCGTATTGTTTAACCTTGAATGTTGACATTTAATATTTTACTATTACCTATTACCAATATTATTTCTTTTATTTGATTAAAGGATAATTTCAAACCACATTATACAACAATTTATTTTAATTGAAGGTTCAAACCAAATTAATTTTCCCAAGAAGGGCTTCTCAGTGTATTCACTGATCCAGGTCTTAATTCCTCTTTCATGCAAATTATTTGATAACCAGCGTATTGACTTGGTGTAGATTTTAACAGGATTTTCTTAAAGGGGGCCTTGAGTTTATTTAATTAGCAACTTCATTTGGGGTTGGGGTGGTATGTTTTCAATATATATGTTCAATTACAGAATTTGTTCAAAGGAGGTGGAACTTTTCAATTTTTACCTTCCTTTTGGTAGACAAAATGCGAGAGTATTTGCAAGGTCTATAATTACATTGAGGTATTTTCAAATGGAGGTGGGGTTAAGTGTGGGGTTTAGACTCCAGGATAGTTTTCCATGATCAGCAGTTACAAACACAAATAATTGGTGCTCTTATATGTTAGCTAGAACTTACCAAAGTTTTCATGCATTATAATTAACAGTTTTCCATGATGAGCAGTTACAAACACAAACAATTAGTGCTCTTATATGTTAGCTAGAACTTACCAAAGTTTTCTTTAAGCATTATAATTAACAGTTTTCCATGATGAGCAGTTACAAACACAAACAATTAGTGCTTTTATATGTTAGCTAGAACTTAACCAACTTTTCATTAAGCATTTAATCGAATTATAATTAACAGTTTTCCATGCTGAGCAGTTGAATACACAGAATAAAATGCGGTATATGTATAGTAGAGAGAATCTATCAAGTGACTCTATATGTTGATAGAGCCTTTCCCAACAATTCTTGATTAGACTTTGATTTTGAAATCCTGGTTGCAGGAATGTGTGTTTGTTAACCTGTAGAGGTAGCAGTGCGGTACAGAATAGGCTGTGTACGAAGTTCATGTTTCCATGGAACTGTCTTTGTTAGTTAGTCAGTGTCTAAGTTTTAGAGAAGACATGAAAAGGTGCTCAAGATTTAATATCTTGTTCCATGTAGTGAACACATGTTCAGGCTTTTCCTAGACCTGCTCACAGGCCGATATTCGGCGCCAACTCTGCAGCTCACATCAGTAAACTTTCCTTAATTGGAACTAAAAGTATCCAAATTCATTTATAACGAGTATGTTATACTTTTTAGACGTGACTTGTATTTCAATGATAAGGAGACCAACAATGAACAAGAGGCTCAGATGATTAATTCTACGTTATTGCATTAAATTGTGCAATTAAACTGAGTTATGAAAACAAGAACTTAAGAAAGAATATACATTTTTAACAAAATAATTTGTTTCCCCAATATGCTTGCCAAGAGCACTTTGTTTGGGATCCTACATAAATCCCTGATAATTTTGCATTCAGGAAACAGGAAGGATTATTTTACGTGTTTTTCATTTTGTTTTGTATTTTAGTGTCTGTAGATTCCTTAAACCAATTAATACAAGGTGTTGCCTCATGCTAGTCTAGGTAAGTCGTTTTATAATTTTGATGAGTTGGCTTATAAAGTTTTGTACCCATAATTCAATGAAGTTGGATTACACAGAATTCCTATGATAAAAGGCCAAGAGGTATGTGAGTTATGACAGCCATTGTACGAATGGTAAAGAGTGCCTTGTGAAACACACCCAAGATAGGTCCATGCATTGCAATGCAAATATTGATATATTATCATGATTTTTTGTTGTATATTCTATGTGTGTGAATTCAGAGCTAGATGTTAGCACTAACCTCAGTTGAAATGTATCATGCCATTTTCTTCCCTATTGTTTACAAGGCACTCACTGCACACGCACTGCAAAGGACACGATGTGATAGGAGCCCTTTCAGCGCAACGGATCTTCATAATTTAAGAAATGAGGAAATCGTTTTTTTGAAATCGTTATTAATGTTATCAGATGTGTTATTATGAATCTGAATTAGATTCATTTTATCAATTTGATGTTCGGACTAATAACTACACTAAGGTTAGGCTAAGAAATGTGTCAATAAAGCTGAGCTTTGAGGTTTTCAGGAAGCATTTTTCTAATATTTGAACATGAGCAGTTTTTGACCAAGCCGAATTCCTGATGAGATGTAGAATAAGAACAGTACACATATTGTACAAGATTCATCTTGGGTCACGGCCTGCTCATGCTAAGATTTTTACTTGAAGTTTAAAAGTCAACCTTTTATTTTGACGTGACGTGAGATAGCCTAAACACATTGATGATTTGAGATTTGCCGAGCGCGCTCCCCCGCCTCGGCCTCGGTTAAACGGCTCATCGTCTATAACGCCCACCAATTATTTGGACCCCATTGGTAGCGTTGTAGCGAGGGACCACTGTACCTTCGTATCAGAAGTCCAAAACAAGATTACAAAAGAAAACTACTTGTTTTTAACATGTCTTATTGAGATATCATTACATCACAATTTTCTGCAACTTTACAGTTTGACATTTCCTGTAGGGCTGAAAAGGGCTGTTAACCTACCTTGTCCTTTGCCTTTGTTTCTAAATGCCTGGTAAGGCTAAAAAAATAATAGTGTTGATTCTCAGGCACCACCCACATCATCATAAAGTCTGACGCATATTTCGTTTTTATTTCCATTTTAAAATTTTTAAAAGAATCCTAATACTTAAAAACAATGTGCCCGCCTGCTCTATATTTTCAAAAGTCATTGCCTGAGAACCAATTCTTTTATTTTCTTAAGCCTAATGCAACTACTACCATGATAAGACTTGCTCAGTTCCCTGGAGGAGCGTTATTGGCTGTTGCTTTACCGACCAGAAACCTGCTTATGTAACAGGTGTTGTCGACCATCCTGTTATTGTTTTTGATAACAACTGTTGATTTGATTTAAACCACCCTGTTATTGTTTTTGATAACAACTGTCAAATTGATTTTGACACGGGCTTTTGTTGAATGAAATGTTTTTAGATAGATACAACACACTATCACATTGTTTACAAAAATCAAGCAAAACACAGGGACCCCCATGCAACACAAGGCATCACAATTCACTGGGCAGAGTTGCTTCCCTTAGTTATGCCAGGAAATGCAGATGGAGGGCTATAATGTCAGATTTGCCTTGAATATTATCTATGGCTTGTCAGTGACTTACCCTTGCTTTTGGATTTGACCATAGTGGCATGTGTTAACGACATCACTTCGGGCTTTCCTCCCAGATTAAACAGACACACTAGGTAAATACTGCTCAAACTTCAAACTTGTTATTCTATATTTTAAAAAATACTCAGATGATTATGTACTCATTTTAATGTGTAAATATGATTGAATGAATTTTTTCTGTTATTAACATACTAAATTTCAGGACCAAAATGACCAAATTATGATGTACCAAAGTTCCATTAGCTTCACGGGTAGAACCTTTGTTCGTGTAATTCCAGGACTCGCTTCAATGTCTGTGAAGTCATTGATACTTAGTTATCGTTTGCTCATTGTAATTATGAGTATCCGTCTCAGTAAGCGAATATTCTATGGAATAGGTCCACTTCTTAGCCTTAATAACGTGCCATTGTCTTTAACTGGTGATTGTACGAGGGCTTCATTATTCCGTGTGTTGATCAAACCTTTACAAAACAACCTTATACACCAAATAAATTATAAAGGCCAACAGTTTTATTGTCTACATAGCTATTTGCATAAACCCATGTACCCTAATTGCATGTACCTCTATTATACTGAGATTTTCATGATCACTTGTAACAGTATCTATTGTACCCTGGGGCATCTGTTGCTAACCGTATAACTGCTTTGATTATCTAGGTGAACTAAAACGTACTTGTTTGGATGATGGCGCTGTTAGCTTGTATACTGGGTTTCGTGAACAGCAAAATCTCGTTAATCCGGATCAGTGGAATCAACCTTATTCGTAAAGGCCGAGGTATAATGGGGGCTAGGGCTGGGACAAGTCCAAAGTTACTACCCGGGTACCCATCCCATATTACCCGACCCCACCCAGGTGCCCGCTGTTGGCCTCAAGAGATAGCTACTAACTGTCCGATTGGGAAAAGTCTGACCATAGCCTTGGACAAAATGTATTTAGATACACTATAAAAAGTTCTGGTCATCCATACATTGAAGTTGACTGAAGTTTTATTTATTCAAACTTATAAAAATCAGTAGGAATGAGCGTAGTAGTCAGAGAGAACTGCGAACATTAGTGACTCGTAGTTTAACCATAGAGTTCTAGATACATGTATTTGTTGTCATTAAACAATATATCACGGGACTAACCAGGGGCCCGGGTAGTCCTTAGTGTACCCGGATCTTACTCAGTACCCGTCCCAGACCTAATGGGGACTATTATGTTCAGCAGCATCTGCATAATTTAAGTTATGAGCAAAGCTGAATCTGTCATCAACGTTGCCAGAAGTGTTTATGATATTGATTATTTTTGTTTCATTACTTGGATATTTTGTGAATTTAACCAATAAATGTTGAATTTAAAATGTGTAAAAAAGGAAGCAAATCTTTGACCCGAACCTATTTTCTCAGCACATTTGAGATGAAGAAAATACAAACATATGGGACATGTCTGATGAAATATTTCAACGTTTTCTGAGACTTAAAATGTGACATTTCCCTTTGGCCAAAATGTCCCGTCCTTTCCTGATTGGCATGGGCACCTACCTTCAAGAATTAGTATACACGGGAGTTTCCTATAGCTGCCTGGTAGGAAGGAGTTCCACATTAACAGGGGCCGGAATTACGAAGATCCGCTGTACAAGTTTATCTGTGCCAATGCAGACAGAAACAATTTGAAGCGGCAGTAAAATATATTCAAGTGTTCGCATTACCTCGTGGTCAATGTTATGTATGTAGAGAGAGGATGGGTTACAGCTATACTAACCTTGTCGGTGTGCAAACTGTCGGCGTATCTTTATGTACCGGTTATGTAGACAAAGTGTCCCCGTGTCAAATTTGCTTAATGCATCACGTTTCGCATGGAACGCACGTGCGGCACGCACTTCTAGGACGCGTGCTCGAAGTAAAGTATGTAGAGGTTTGTATACAAGAACATATGCTGTGCTTTAACACGCATTGCCTTACCGTTGACCAGTGCTTTTCCTGTTGACCGCAAAATGGCATTGCAAAGTGACACCACTCGGATGTTCAGGGAAGAAATTAGAGTATTGTTGTGATTGTTATAAGTTTAATATGAGATTTCTTATCTGTTTTGCATTCTTCCATTGAAACAATAGTATGGGTTCAAGATATTTCGTTGTGTTTTTCATCATAGCTGAGATGTTAGTTGTACCTGCGGTGTTGTTTTGGTGTTATTATTATCCACAACAGATTATTTGGCACGATTATGTTTTGTATGCTATATATTCTTTCCAAATTCTCAACCTATGCTCTCGCTTTGATATGGGGTGTGTCATGTGATCTAAGGCTGTCTTAGCCCTTTCTGAACCCATTTACCGTTTCTCCTGATAATGATTCTTGGTTTGTCGGCACCATTCCCGTTCTCGAATGTACTGATTTCTACGACCATTGCCACTGTGGTCTTTCTCCTCACGGGGCGGTAGGGTAGCCAAGTGTATAAAGCGTTCGCTCGTCACGCCGAAAGCGGGTTTCGATTCCCCACTTGGGTACAATGTGTGAAGTCGTCTCCCGTCGACATAGTGTTTGAATATTACTAAAAGCGGCGTAAAACCATACTCACTTTCTTCTCACATGAAGCTGACACGCCATGACTTGAAATACTGTTCAAAGCGGCGTTAAAATCATTCGCTCACTCACTACGTTTGGCTATGCAATGTAGGTTTTGAGTTGAAATCTGCCGAGGGTGATCATGTACGAATTGCCATTACTACCAAGAAGGGTCTTGGTAATGGGTTCATTTAAGACAAAGTAGCTTTAAGAAATGATTTTTACTCAAACCACTTGTTGTTGATGCACTGATTGACGAGACGGTCCAAGTAACTGCTCCCGATTGTATTGATATTGTACTTATTGTAATTTTTATTTACACTTAGGTTTGAAATAAAAAGACAATATTATTATATGTCTCATTTGTGTCTTAGCTTTGTTTGTTTGGTTTGTTTGTTGTTTTACGCCGCACTCAGCAATATTCATGAGCATCGATCCACGCAATTGGGATCGATGACATGCATCAACCAAGTCAGCGAGCCTGACAACCCGATCCCGTTAGTCGCCTTTTATGATAAGCATAGTCGACTGTTACGACACGCATGGGTTGCTGAAGATCTATTCTACCCCTGATCTTCACGGGTGTCTTAGCGTTCTTAAAGGCCTAACAAAAGAGAGGAATCTTCTCGCACGTCACTTCTCTTCCCAAAGAATGGACCCTATCCTGATGTTTAACAATATTTTTTATGAAGGTTAATTTCGCTTCCTGTTCCATTCTATATGAAAGCGCGTGTTTTATGAAACCAATGCACATGGCAATTTTAACAATTTGTGTCATGGAAGATAATGTCTTTAAAAAGTTGCTTAAGCAACCACATTGTTTAGGAAAGTGATGACAAACGAGAATTGATTTGTGACCTTAAGTAAACGTTTTGATTTCGATCGATTTTATGATTCATCCGGGATGTCTTGATGGGACTGCTGTGGTCTGACCATTTGGAAAGTTTTGTAAGAGCCGATTTAAATTGAAATCGTGTGGTCACAAGGTGTGACGTGAATTGTTTGATAGGCATTAAATTGACGGATGACAAAGTAGACACAATTTTATGGATAACAACTTCTGTAACACTGTAAAAAGCGACGTTTCTGTATAGATCCTTATACCGGTGTCAAACAAGACTGAATGAGGGCTGACTGACTGATATAGAAGATTTAACGTGCGCTTTCCGACTGCAGCGTATTTCGCACACGGGCCTGGCCAGACCATTTAGTGTATTCCGAGAAGGGTGAAAGTGGTGTGTGCAACACAAGAGGGGGCTTTTAGGGGTTGCTTATATCGATTTTTTTGAAATTTTAAAATTTGGAATAAATGCCGAGGTGGGTGGAGGAGGGAACTAAGGGAGCCGGGTGAGGTGGGTGTATGTATGTTTATTGGATTTTGGATTGGTAGATTAATTAGTTTTTAGATGCGCTTAATTAGGCCTGTTTTGATTAGGAATACGCCTAGGGCCTTGAAGTTTTCTAGTTTATTTTGAGGGTTTAGTATTTCATCTAGAGTAGGAACCTTATTTAGATTGAGGTTGGTTTGTAGTGTGGTTCTGTGTGTTTGGTAGTGGGTGCAGTGGATGAGTGCGTGTTCTGTGGTTTCGGGTTGTTTGCAGTGGGGGCAGTTGCCTGTGGTGTGTCTTTTAAGTTGTTTTAGGTGGTTATTTAGGTTCGTGTGTCCTGTTTGGAGTTTTGTAATTAATCTGTCAATTTTTTTAGAGGGGTGTAGGATTTTAGGTTTGGCTAGTGGTTTTCTGAGCACTTTTTGGATTTGGCTATTTGAGTTTTGATATTGATTATGCCATTTTTTTGGTTATTTTTTGTTTGTTTACACTTTTAATTTCTGATTTTGAGATGGGTAGGTTAAGGCTTATTTCTGGTATTTTGAGAGATAATTTAGCTGCTTTATCGGCGCTTTCGTTGCCGTAAACTCCTACGTGGGCGGGGATCCACAAGAAGGTTATTTGTTTGCCTGCTTTTGTTAGGTCGTTGGAGCTTTTAAGTATTTGGTTTATTAATTTAGGTCGTTTTTTGGTATTTTTGTTTTGGAGGGCTTGTAGCCCACTAAGCGAGTCAGTGAGAATTAGGATTTTTTTGTTGTTTTTTGATTGTTGGTTATGCAGGGCTGAGGCCATGCCCATAAGTTCGGCCGTGAATGAGGGACATTGTACAGAATATATATAGTAGGTGGAGGATTAACAGTAGAGGATGAACAGTAACAACAATTGCATACATGAGTGGGATAACTTGAGTAAGTGATGACAACAGAAGGATAATACTGTCTAAACAAGATGGACAGAGAACACGTAGGAGGAAGCCAATGGGACATGAAGCCAATTAAGCAGGATAAGTGATCATTGCTTAATGAGTTCATAGTAGGCTGATGGGATGAAATAGCCTTGATCTCTGTTGATTGATGGCTTGTGGCGGCGAATGTGGACCGCTTCTGTTAGTTTTCTTTTAGTGAAATCATGGAGGTTGTTGGAGAGGATTTGGACGTTGTCCCAGTTGATGTTGTGATTAGGACAGTTGCTGATATGGTCCGAGATGGCTGATTTACTGTCTGATTTAATGGTTACTCTTTGATTCTGGTGTTGATGGGGCGGGATGTTTCCCCTAGGTAGGATTGTCCACAGTTGCAGTCAGTTTTTTTGCAGTATATAAGCCATCTCGGACCATACGACAAATATAGTCACCTGTTAGGGCAAGCATGGGTTGCTGAAGACCTATTCTACCCCGGATCTTCAGACTGGTACGAGAACGTGATCATATTGGAATATAAGACGTCAGCGTCAGAAGAGTGTAGTTTGTCACACAACACTTGGTGCAGATTACGTTTGACGCCAGTTAATGAAGTTGTTGCAGATTTAACACGCAGTGTGTCTCCCATTGATTGTTTGTGGCGCATATTTAGTACTGGGAACAATGTCAACACAGGTCAGTGAGATTGCTATTGTTGATAGCCAGAGTTAAGCTGGAAATTAGCAAACATTGATTCAGACTCTTTGCCACTGTCAAGATCAACAGGCTCGCTGACTTGGTTGATACATGTCATAGATCCCAATTGCGTGGATCGATGCCCATGATTTCAATCACTGGATTGTCTGGTCCTGACTCGATTATTTTACAGACCGCCGCCACATAGCTGGAATATTGCTGAGTGCGGCGTTAAACAACAAACAACAAACAAACAAACACTCACTCACTCCACGAGGCCATCCAAATCGGTAGCAAAACATGACAAGCATTGTTCAAACAAGTCTTTATTACAAAGTTCAACAAATATGATACACTAAGACTATATTCATTTACTACCTAATAGTCCATGGTTTATACGTAAACACACAGGTACGTAAAGAGAGTAGCTGGTGAATGATGAGTTCGTGAAAATGTCAGACGTTAATACTGGAAGCATTCGTGACCAACTCGTGTTATTCCGGGACAAGCCGAATAGCGACTCGTGCACCTCTCATGGCAATTTTTGCGACTAGGTTCCGTCTTAGCGCAAACGGGCATACCTAAAACAATTGTCAACTCGTTGCGTAATGGTTCACATATATTTCCCCATATGTTTCTGATGCAATTTAAAGGACATCGGGAGGTGCGGAATTATACAGTATGATTGAACACATTTAACTGTGTCTTGGGTATATTTTTAGATGCAAGGCATGTAAAATCAAAATAATATTTCTGAGGGATTATTTGACAAAGAACTCGAAATCATACGCGCATTCTGATTGGTTTGTCGTATTTTCCCACATAACTTTCATCGAGAGGGGGACGAGTCTTCTTGCAGGTTACGGAAAGGGGCGAGTGGTGACGAATGTACTGGAAGGTTATAGACATGTCCGCCATCTTGTTGTTGGTCACGTGGTGAATCACCAAGCAGCGCCCCCAGGCGGTATTTGATCACTTCGCGTAAGATGACACTGAAAGATCTTTGCATTACGTTTTTCAGATGGGTACCTGTAGGGTATGAATATTTATAACTATTTCTCAAAAAGATATTTTTAAAGTTTATTCTGAATTTGAGTAAATAGAGTTTGTGGTTGAACTCCGAGACAGTCCAGAGGAAACACATTTGTGTAAAGAAAGTTCCTGTATTTTTAACGCAGCTAACTATGTGACATTAGATCATGATTATTGTTCAAATGAATAGCTACAGCCGATTATAACGATCCCATTTAAAAGATTCCCCGCTGTCCGTTATACCAGCACTATAATACCCATCACACCATCTCAATATCATAGTTGGTTATAACGATTTGTTTTAAGATATTCTGGATTTTGTTATATCAGTACTGTCAGTGAATACCAATCACACCATCTATATTCATATATACTACTAAAAGGGTTAAGGGGGCGCAGGGGTAGCCTAGTGGTCAAAACGTTCGCTCGTCACGCCGGGTTCAATTCCTCATACGGGCACAGTGTCTGAAGCCCATTTCTGGTGTCTCCCGCCGTGATGATGCTGGAATATTGCTAAAAGCGGCGTAAAACCATACTTACTCACTTACCAAGAATAAGGACTACCCGATTATTCCATATTTCTATTGTTCATCTGTCATGGCATGACAGATTAACAATACTAATATGAAAGAATCGGATGGTCCCTAACCTTTTTTTAGTCGGATAGAATCCAGTCCTAAAAAAATCTTAATGACCTTTCGTTTTAACTCGCTTATCACATTAACGTCCATAACCATTCGGAGGTGGCTTCGACATAACCGAACCTTCTGTGACTATTAAAGTTCTGGTGGCGTCAAGTCTTAATCAATGTACGTGTGCCTTATAATCCCCGGAATAGTTTAGCCATACTTCTTTAAAAAAAGACGTCAACGTGTCTCGAAGATAACACATTAACACCACTAAGTGGCATCTACTGCCTCTTTAGTAACTTACACGGTTAGATTATTTTTCAACGTTGGCAGCTCATTTGCCGAACACGTCATGGTCACACCACTAGCCTCGCGGGACACCTCGTTACGTGGACACTAACGAACGCTGTGAGGGATAGTTCGACCTGGCGGGGAAACCTAGCGTTGAAGAGTGTCACTTGGCCTGTCGCAACCACCAGTTAAGTTGACACAGCCCCCGGGAAACTGCTTATTACATTACCCATAAGGCCAGTTATATTATTTAAAATATTTTTCTGAAAAAATCCGAAAAAACGCTTAATTGAATTTTTGAGTGAATATTAGGCCCTTTATTTATAGATATGACTGGTTATGTATCTGACATATCGTTCTGAGACCGTTTCTGTGCAACACGAATTGAATAATGCTGGGTCTTTTTGTGGTATTTTTCAAATATGATGCAATTTACGAATTGATTTGAGCCCCAATTGCGTGGATCTCTCAGTTGTTTTGGTTAATCATTTTTTATTGATGACAGCGTGCTGTTCACTGAGACCCCCTCTGACAACTTGTTCAGGTTTAGATTTTAATCTTTAGAGACATTTCAGTCGTTACTGGCAAAAACGTATTTCTATTACCAGATGTATGGCAACAAGACACCACTTAATATACCTGTCTTCGGTATAGTCGTAAACGTCCAAACAAGTAATAAGGTAACAGGGCGGTCGGGTAGCCCAGTGGTTAAAGCGTTCGCTCGTCACGCCGAAGCCCCGGGTTCGATTCCCGACATGGGTACAATGTGTGAAGCCTATTTCTGGTGTCCCCGCCGTGATATTGCTGGAATATTGCTAAAAGCGGCGTAAAACCATATTCACTCACTCACTCACTAATAAGGTAACCATTCCCCACTTAAAACCCCCTTTAACCTTTAATCATCTTGTCACAACTCATATTACTTACTTATTACTTACTCATTACTCATGAACAAGACATCGCTACCCTTTTTGCGAACACCTGTTGTCATCACCTGTTTTACAGTGGTTCATCCATACAATTTTCACAGCTATTTGCCCTCAACACCAAATGAAATCTGCTTCAGCGGATAATCTAGACTGGTTATTCTCTTGCATTGACATGTTATTTTAAATATACCACTCAAAAGAAGTTAAGGATCACCTGATTCTTTCATATTACAATAGGTAATCTCTCATGCCATGACAGATTAACATTACCAATATGAAAGAATCGGGTGATCCTTAACTTCTTTTGAGTAGTATAGCTACATATATTCCTAATTATATACTATTAAGAATACTTTACTCCGTTTAAAAGATGATAGTTATCATTGGAATTTCTTTAAAAAAAAGAATAGTAACCATAAGAATTCTTTAGTATAACGTGAAATTACTCTACATGAAGATTCAACAATTTATAAAAAAATGTTTTACACGCTAAATATGACAACCTGAAGAATATATGGTCTGTACAAGAGAACGAATTAAATAAGTTAAGATACGATAAGAGTAGTAAGATGTTATTATTCATTATCGGTGATTTTTCCAATATGAATGCAGTTCTTCAGAACATAGCCTACACGTGTTTCAAACATGAATTAATGATGGCATACAGATTCATTCGTGACCAATCGGGACATTCCGGGACAACCCGAACGAGTTCACGGAAGGTACCGAATGGTGACTGATCGTGCCTGATGGCATATGGCGTATAATACGAAAACACCGAAAAAGCTAAGGTTACAAAAGCTACGTTAGATGCATAGATTTCAGTTGACCGTGTAAGGAGCGTCAGCTCGGCTCGACACGTTGGGTATATCAGCAGTCACGTCTTACACAGAGGCTACACATACAGATGTTTAAGGGGCTCTCCGAGTGGCAATAGAACAGACTACTCACATAAGCTAAAGGTAGCCATCGAACGGTACTCAAAGACTGGACGACCTAAAGTAACACGTGACTTAACTACGTCACAATGTAATTCCCTTTCTGCAAACGACACCGGTGTAATAACTACCTATTAGGACTTATGAACAGGCTTCACATATACGTGAAGGTAGACATCGAGCAATACCCAAAGGAAGGAAGGAAGACCCAAAGTAACACGTGACCCAAATGCGTCACAATGGAATTCCCGTTCAGCACACGGCACCGGTGTAACATCTACAAATTGGACTGTATAGAAAGGAAAATGTAGTTAAATTTGCATGGCAGGGTCAGACTTGTTTTATAGGAATAAGCAGCTCTTGGACTATGCGCGCAACGACCTCAGAGGAGCAGTTTGACTTGGATTATGACGGGGAAAACATGGTGATGTTAAAGGGACTGTCCGACTAACAGAAGTTAGAAACACGGATTTTAGAGGGTCCATTTTGCATCAATTCGAACAGAGTTTACACATATATTTTTTAACCATTCGACTGGAATAACAAACACACCAAAGAGGTCACATACTGATATGAAAGGGTCTTCTACTCGCAATAACATACCCTATTACCGTATGTATTGTAACATTTAACATACCAACATGACTAAACGTAAAGATTCCTTAGTTCACAAAATAGTTAACCTTTAATCAGCTTCTTATTAGCCAAAGAACAATTTTCTTAAATAGCTACACGTATTCCTAATTATATACTATTAAGATAAATATAGTTCATCTAAAAGATAATAGTTAGCATTAGAGTTCTGTTCGAAAATGAATAGTAGTGGTAAGAATTCTTTAGAAAATTCTCCATTCTAAAATGAAACATGTCGCTCATTAATGCCCCCTCCACACACACCTATATTTTCAGTGTTATGACTTTACATCCCTTCTTATATATAATGCCTTACATTACTTTTAAAATATATTTTAAGTTGGCCATTTTCTTAAAGACGGTCTAACCTTTTGGGCTCGGTATGACCTGTGCGTATATAACGGTTATTATCTCGAACTACGGTTAACTTGATGTTCGACATATCATATGTTCGATGATACCCTGAAATGTAAATTAACCACGAAAGCAGCTACGCTGTCATTTACTTAAACGCTATCCACTTCGATGCATGCTCTGTTCTATCTCATGCTCACACGGTGAACCCCTTACCATCTACACAGAACACTTTAACAAGTAACAGCTAAAGAGAGAGAGGAAACATACAAATATACGCTCTACACAGAGGATGAAGAGTTGATATACAGGGTACAAATTCTACGGTAGAAATGTACAATATACAAGTAGAACGAATACAACGTCTGTACAATTGTATGTTTCAGACACCGCTGCAAAGTTTGCTTTTTTTAAATTCTCAATACATGAATGGAATTTCTCAATAGGTTGTCCAAATGTCTGCCGCTTCCAAAAGTATTTATTTTCAATTCCAGCTAAAGCCATTGTCGTAATTAGAAAACACGAAGTCTTGAAAAGAAATGGTTTGAATAGGTACTGGAACACCTGTTTGAAATTCATGTTTTTAAGTGTTTTAAGTCCAGATTTGCAGATTATCAATTTGCTTCTAGGCGCCTCTCGGAATAAGACGCGAGCAATTTTTTGAGTAAGTTCTGTGTATTTTTGTACGAACAAAATTAGGTCTTTGTTTTTTAAGGGCAACATGCACATGAACTCGTTATTGGTCAGTAAATAAAAATATATACCCCCTATATGCAATTCTCTACTTCCATATAGGGGGTATATATTTTTATTTATTGACCAATAACGAGATCCTGTGGCAGCATGTGTTGAAATGGAACATTAAAAAGAAGACAATTATTTCTCAAACATATAGGTAGGACATATATATATATATATCTCAGCTCCGAGGCTGAGACTCATGCAGGACAATGGAGGGAAACCGGAAATAGACATGACCATATATGGAATAATGCACACGATGCACCGGTGTATTTTACCACCGTTACAGCGACTGTGCATCAGACTTCATGATTACAAATCGACTCGCCACGGACACGAGTTTGGATAAACTTGCACTTCGATGAGAACAATGTTACTGGAGAGTTCTGTATTCATTAAAAAAGAATGTGGACCATAACGCCAACTTTAGCATTTCAGTCAATCAAACGCAAGACGACAGTGGTAGTATGTCATTGGTTATCTGCCCCTGACATATCCAAGTGAAAAAGTTATGGGCGAATCTCCCTTTCATTAAACAGCAAGTGGAGACACCTTTAAAAGAAGAATCCAATTATGGATATTACATAAGAGATATAAAAGATAGTGAAATTTAACTGTGTATATATAATAGATGTATATCACCAAAAGGAATCATATCATCACCATTGATGATTAATAGAAGACTCTTGACATGCGAAAAGGAATTGGTAACAGTTGACATAAAATTGGGAATAAACATAAACCCCAGCAGACATTCAACAAATAAGACATAACACGAAATATACTGAAAATAAACATTCAGGGGTTATGAATATTTGGGGATATTTTATTTATGTCTCCACTATAAAAAATATCCCAAAAAATATTCATGATCCCTAACTTTTTTCCTTCAGTATATGATCATCTTATTGATGTAAAACCTACCCGAGTTTCCCGATAGGTGTTTAGTTATTTGGGTAGGCAATGATAAAAAGTATCAAGGCTACGAGCATCTTCCCGGGGCAAGTGAGTTAACTGACTATAAAAGTCCAGTTTCCGTGGAAACTGGACTTTTAAAGTCAGTTAACTCTCTGGCCTCGGGAAGATGGGCTACGAGTGCCTTCTGAAATGACACTCTTGTCCTTAACGCAATGAACATTTATGGACATCCAGAGAAAGGACATAGGCTTAAACACCCATCCGGTATTGAGCTAAACATTGTATCATTTCATATAAATTCCGTTTTCGAATATTTTTCGCCATATTGCCGGGACAGTGCCGAAGCGACGTTTAATCTTTACTCACTCACTCACACTATCACATTAATGATTTCCCTTTTGAATAATCTCGGGATCTGTTTTTAATTCGTTCAATTTCAACCTTAGAATATCCAAATGTTAAAGACATGTGTAACCGACAACACTAAGAAAATATTCTGTAATGATATATTCAGTTATAATATTAATAACAATATTAGTAGGAATGTCATAAATCGCTTATATGTACATAATTTGAGCATTTACCGATAATAACTGCAATGGATAATCTTTTTGTCCGGTCCGTTAAGATCCAATTTTTCTGGAAGGGTATTAACGGCACATTGCCCGCGAGGATTAGAAGAACATGGAGTTGTGTACCTCCTCTTGAAGAATCTTGAAAGGGGAGACAACTGATACAAGGGATGTATAACGCACGACATATGGAAGCTGGAGCAGTGGGTTGGAACATGAAGCAGGGAAGGATGCTGGAACAACAGACACGTAATATACGTATAGGAAACGAATAGCATTTTCCTGGCGTCTTGAACCAGACGCCAGACATCTATATGTTCCCTGGTTGGACGAATCTGTAAAACTCGCGTTCCGTTGATAAGGTCTATTCCAATGTTAAAAAACATACTAGAATATCCCGTATCTCATAATTCTCCATCAGACATCCGTACCCATCACCGTTAAGTATTCATATCCTGTTATCCATAACAGAACTGCTCTCCGAACAAGTTTAATAACGTCACGTGACTTCACGTCCATCTTTGATGTTCTCCATTCTGCTCAAGAAGTCATTCCATGATACTTATCAACGTCACCCACACCAGCCTAAAGTTGTTGTCATGGTAACCGGAAGATTAAAACCAGTCTCATCTCCACAGTCGCCATGTTGATCTTCGGCCGCCATCTTGAGATTACACGGAAACCACATTACAGATTGAGAGCATGGTAACACATGTTCATGGAAGTTTCAAGGCGAATTTGGACGACAGCAGTCGTCTACAGTTAGGTATCCTTGTGTATTAACACATCTCTAGAAGAAAAGTCGTTCTTTGGTAATTAGTCGTAGGGAGATATTGCTTGTAAACAATCAGCACCGTGACGTCATTACCCACAATCCTCTAAGTTTGCACAGTTCTTGATAGTGGTATTTCTTTCCTACCGTGGCACTTGAACCTCTGCATGCGAACCAAACACAAGATTTGTGACGTCATACCACGCAGGCGCAATTTTCAACACATATTCACGTGACGTTATTTCTTGTAGAGGTCGTTTACTGAAACGAATAATAAAAATAATTGTTTAAAAGGTGGCAAGTTTTGAAACTACATATGTAGGATATAAATATGAATTAGGTTATATTAATTCATCGTTTCTTGATTAAAAAGAGGCACAGCTTTACAGAGGTGCGCCCCTTAGCCGTGTCAGGATCCGAAGATCGCGGGTTTGAAGTCACCCTGATTGTGATTATTCGTCTATCAATCAAAACCCGTGCTCGTCAATTTCGCCAAAGCGAAAATGCGACCTCCGTCACTTCGGACTTTCTACTGAAAGAGGGGATAAACCAAACTGACCTTTTACAGTTAAAAGTCACTGCGTGCCAAGTTAGGCAGAGATGGCAGCTAAATATTGGGCTCCAAGTGAGGGGAACCCCTCGTATTTCCGAGTAAGAATACATGCCTAAAAAACGTATGCTTATCGGAGGAGACGATACATGGATCGGGTGGTCAGGCTCGCTGACTTGGTTGATACATGTCATCGCATCCCAGTAGCGTAGATCGATGTTCATGATGTCAATCACTGGATTGTCTGGTCCAGACTCGATTATTTACAGACCGTCGTCATGTAGCTGGGCTATTGCTGAGTGGGGTTAAACGACAAACAAACAGACGAAGGGGTTATTCAACTTTCAGCCCTGGCAAGTTTGAATCAGACTTTTCTCTTTACCTGTCCTCTAACTAACAGGGGCGGTTGACCTAGTGGTTAAAGCGTTCGCCCGTCACCCGGGTTCGATTCCCAACATGGGTACAATGTGCGAAGCGCATTCTGGTGTCCCCCGCTGCAATATTGCTGCTAAAAGCGGCGTAAAACCATACTCATTCACACAAACTAAAAGTCTTACCTAGATCAATCTATAATCACTGATTTCCCTAATTTCATAGACACAATGTTTAAATGATATGGCACAGTCACAACATTTTATACCGTCTATACTGAAAGTTGGCAGCACACTGTGGAGAGGAGATACCCTTTAATTTATGGTAGCCCAAAAAAATAGTTTGTCTCGAAACTCTTTGCTCCCAAGAAGTGGCACAATGACACTTAAGAATGACAAAAATACGAGAACTTCGTTCAAAATCAATAGTGACTTCCGAGAACTCCTGTTAAAAGAATGAAATAAAACGTAGAGAGAACCGAAGACTTAAGGTTTTGCATTGGAAGATGTTAATTACTGAAAGATAATGTGATTACTCAAAGATAAGACACTGGCGATTTAAGATAGCTGTTGCTTGGCATTCATTTTGTTTTAGGGATAAAACTTTCCTGTCCTCCTCCCCTTTTTCACCCTGCCCCCACCCCGGGTCTTTCTCACGTAGCTCAGCCTCTTAGGTGCCGCAATTCGTTGAACAGAGTTGCGTGGCTTATGCGTGTAGCAATCTAGGATCGTGGGTTTGAATCCCAGATTCGCGAAGGTTGTTTTTAGGTTTGGCAGCACCATATTCGCTACAATGAGTTTTATCTTTGTGGTAAACGTCTTAGTCCTCCATCACTCCGGGCTCTCAAGCCGACATATCGTAATAGTCATGGAATACTATTTAAAGCGGCGTTAAAACACGCACACTCACTTCTTTCTCGTTCATTCAGAAAAAAAACGCTTACCTTGATAGTACGTATCTTTCTCCATTGAACATTTTCTTGACTGTAACAGAAAACAAATCATATTAAACATTTATTCTTAAAATTAGCCAAAAATAGAAATTATCATTCATGAAAAATACATTTTTTTCAACGGAACGGCATTCTTCTGTTGTCAGTAGAAACTAGGACAACTTATGACATCAATACTGTGATAGCCTCCACATCAGGGCTGCCCTGGGACTCGATTGTGTTACGCCAATACAGACAGATGACACGCACGCCCCGGTCACACACAATCTGTGATAAAGTGAAACCTCGTTATTCCAGACCCCGTTAGTTCAGAGACCCCTGCATAGGGACGATGGTTTTGGTAACGCAACGTATAATGAAAAGGTCATTACTCTAAACCCAATCTCATTAAGATCAAATCTTAGTTAGCAATACCGCTAAACATTGATCTTAAGACGTCCCATTACAGGTCACATCAAGTGCAGAGTGCTTTCAGCGCTGCGACTGTTGTACCTCGAATGTTCTAACGACTGCTTTGTGGTGAGTAGACAGAGCGCCCACCTGGAGAGCGGGAGGTCGGTGATTCGATCCCCGGCCGAGCCATCCCCTAAGACGTTAACTGATGGTACTTGTTGTTACCCTACCTATCGCTTGGCATAAAGGGGATAAAACAAAGGTTGTCGGCTCGGCGTCAGTATACAGTGGGGTATTCATGTTAAACTGCGGCATGATATCTCAGTAGGCTAGTAAAACCACCAATAGTTCGGACAAGTACTGGCAGCCACCCGCACGCACACACGCACGTAGGTATATAAATGCAAACATCTTGAAAACTATTTCACCACCACCGAATGTTCTAGGAATAGCGAAACTCTGTAATTCCGAACCCCCGTTTGTCCGGAAGCCTCGACCTTCGGACGACTGCTTTAAGGAACGTGCTGATACATACGAAGGGTAACCCGAACGATTGCTCCAGGAAACGACACATTCAGTAAAGGGGTGTCACCGTAGACGATGCTGCTTACCCTTTTCTTGAAGTTAATGTTGGTCCTCACCACCCTGTGGTTCAAAGGCATCAGTGGACGGGCGTTTACCTCCATTGGAAGATCCTCAAGATTTTCCCGACCATTGTATAAAACTCGTAATGATGATAGCTGGAAAATACAAAATACAAGCAATAAAAAAAAATAAAAAAAAAATAAAAAAATAAATAAATAAAAATAAAATAAAATAAAATAAAATAAAATAAAATAAAATAAAATAAAATAAAATAAAATAAAATAAAATAAAATAAAATAAAATAATAAAATAAAATAAAATAAAATAAAATAAAATAAAATAAATAATACGTTTTCAACAGAAATACTTTGTTTGGTTCCATGGATCATGATTAAGGGGAATTCGTTGGTCATGGTCATCGTACTAATCGTATTAAGGGACCCAACTCTGCTTACAGAATTGAACAGTATTTTAATAAGATCACACTTTCCAGAGGCTCTTAACTGACTACAGGCGCCGCAATTCGCCGTGCAGAGTGGCGTCCCTTGGACACGTCAGAAACCTATGATTGTGGGTTCGACTCCCGGTTCGCCCCGATTATGTTTCTAGGTTTGTCAGCACCATATCCGTGCTCGTCGTGGGTTTCACTGAAGTGGTAAACGTCTGAGACCTGCATCACTTCGGGCTTTCCTCCCACATTAAGCTGACACGCTAATATAACTGGAATCCTGTTAAAGCGGCGTTAAACCCAACTCTATCCTAGCGAGTGATGTTCTTTCTATGTTGACCAATCAGATTCCACCTCTCACATCACTTGCACTAGCTGCAAACAATATGGCGGCGTCCAGTCAAGGCGATCTGAACAATATGCCAGGTCTATAGTTTAATAAACGGACCTTACCTCGTGAAGTGCATCAAATTATCTGAGCACCTTGATTAAAAACATGAAAATATTTGGAAAATATCTGTCGACGTTCAGTTGACGGTACACATGCTTTGCAAATCCTGCGGTTGAAATTCATGTTGTATACGAACCGGATGTCTAGTTCGTTGCGCGATTTTGATTGGACTATGCATAGACTCCCTTGCCTCGGGAAGATGGTTCAAACACGGCTGGCAGTTCGACGAACTGATGCAGGTCTTAAGCGAATATCAATTTGGTGAAACCCACGAGAACAATAATGATGATGACAAACCAAGGATCTTAATCGGGGTGAATCTAGGATTCTAACCCACCGTCATCGGATCCTGGTACGACTAAAGGACGCAACTCTGTACAGAAACGACGCCTTGTGCGTCTGTGCTTTCCTAACCTTAACAAGGATAACGTTGATCACGATACCATGGAACCCAGAACGATGTTACATAGCTATTGTTCTCATTTATCCTATATTTCAGTAGTGACTTCCAACAGGCAACCATTAAAGACAGCGGGGCGGTCGGGTAGCCTAGTGGTTAAAGCGTTAGCTCGTCACGCCGAAGACCCGGGTACAATGTGTGAAGCCCATTTCTGGTGTCCCCCGCCGTGATATTGCTGGAATATTGCTAAAAGCGGCGTAAAACCTCACTCACTCATTAAAGACAGGTGGTGATATTTCACACAAATCCCAAGTGTGCAGTACGAATATCTTTGTAATTTCGACTCTCGCGAGTTTACAGTAATTCTAAGTTATGGCAATTATAAGTTTAAAAAACAACAACGCAATTAACTGTTAGTCCCTTTATTTTACACATTACTATACCTTAATTTCATTATAACGACAACCAAGGCCTTTTAGTTTTGCTTTTATGGTTTCTCAAATGGGCGCTATATGGAGGGTCTGTAAAGCCCCCATCAAGCTGCTCATAAAAGATTGAAAAGCCCCATAAATCTGCTTCTGTGTACTGAAGTCTGTTTACCGTGTGCTTGTCGGAGAGGTGGGGAGGGGAGGGAGGTTGGGGTGGTTGTTCATGTCGGACACTGGCAAATCTTGCAACGTGCTAATTCAATAATATTGCACGACTATTGACGAAAACATCAAAAACTCTGTCACTCCACGAGAGATAGGAAGCAGACACCAATGCCAAACAAGCCGCGTCTTAATTACCGGCCATTTGATGCAGATAAAGAAGAAATTCCTCCAGTCCCTTGCCACAGCTATCCCGGAGTTATGAGAACTTCGATCGCCGGAGATTAAAAAGACGGGTTATTGCAACTTGTTCATCGAACGCCCTTGCTGCCAACTGGATGAGGACTCGTCAAGGATTGACCCGGCCCTGCTAAGAGCTTCAGGGACCATGTACGGAGCTCAATGGCTGGAAATTGCTGTTTTTATAAACAACACATCGCCGAGGAACACTTTGATGGATTGGATGGAGATGAGAGAGGTAGTTATAAGCATTCGCCTCGCCAGTTAAACTTCCAAATGGTGAAGAATTCATCTCGAGTATGTATCAAAATGTCCTCTGATCACTCGGAACTATTGAAGCAATCGATTGCAGATCCTGAGTAAATGTTTACTACCAACGTAATGAAGTTTGCAAAATCAAAGTTCACAATTTGTAATATTCATACTCTGCAAATACTTCCTTCCTGGGGGAATTTTATTCATGAATGACTCTTAAACGACCATAGCATATCTGGGAACACAAAGGAGTTTGTAGTGGAAGGAATTCGTTTCATTATTAATCTTACAACATTTCTGCTATTTCTAGAACCACTGCGCCGAATGGCTGATTGAATAATTTTGTACACGAAATTATCCTGATCATCGGTACATATTTGACATAGTTTGTGCAAATCTCTCTGATCTGAGTTTTGGAATATGGAGATTGAAGAAGGGCGGGATGACATCTGATGTAGTCCATTGTCAGTACTTCACGGCACAGCTTTCAGAGGATTGTTGTCAAGGTTATCACTTGACCCTGACAATAGCGAGGTATGAACACGTTTACCACGTGCAAATCAAAGAACTACTTCCATCGTCCGTGCATACACTACATTCCACCATCACGAGACCGCTTCCGTGGTCTAGGAGCAGAGCGATCCCCCCTAGCCCACCCCAACCCCCACCCCCACACCCCCGAGAGCGAAACGTCCGGGGCTCGATCCCTGGCCGCGTCATACCAAAATACGTTAAAATATGGTACTTGTTGTTACCCTGCCTGGCGCTCGGCATTAAGGGTCTAAAACAAGGACTGGTCGGCTCGGAGTCAGTATACTGTATCTGAGTGTTTTTTTTTATGTTAAACTGCGATTGGTATATCGATGGGCTAGCACTATACAATCGGACAAGTACAAGCAGCCACACACACGTGCATGCACGTTGCTATATAAGTGCAATAACCTTGCACGCGACGTTTCCCATTTCTCCTCACCTCACCCGATCACCATGTAAACAGCCACTGTGATGTAGTCGCTATTTGTAACCAACGAATCAAGCCTCGGTCATGTTTTAGCGAGAGGGACAACAGCCAATGTTCTGACCAATTAGACTCAGAAAACGTCGCACAAACGGCAATATTTCTTGTGCAACGTTGTGCCATATATGATGTATCAATCAGCTCGACACATTACTTTGATATTAGACAATCGTAGGGTTCGCTCCTAAGTTCATGTTCGGAGTAAGTCTCATTTCATTACCTTCGGAATGACAAAATAGAGATTTAAATAGCACCACTCAAAAGAGTGAATGAGTATGGTTTTGCGCCTTTTTTAGTAAAATCACGGCGGGGGACACCAGAAATGGGCTTCACACATTGTGGGGAATCGAACCCGGGTCTTTGGTGCGACGAGCGAAGGCTTAAACCACTAGGCTACCGCACCGCACCTCTCTGAAGAGACTTATATGAAGGATGTCAGTATTTCTAAAGAGGAACGCTACACAGTTGTGACGTTGGTGGCCCCATCTCATTGCAGTGGTATAAAGTCATATTGGTATAAAACTGTTATAAATTATTATTATCATTATTATCATTATTATTATTGTAATTGTTATTGATAAAACTGCAACATTTCGAAACTCGCCACAGACAATGTCGCTCCGAAGTCATAACTCCAGTCTAATTACGACCACAATGGGAATTTCGCAGACAATATTAATTTTATAATTGGACATGAAAACTCACTTTCTACATAACATTTTACATTAGATACACCGCTGTGAAATAACACGTCATTGTTCGTCACACTACACATTCAGAGTGCACATTGCAAGAGGCACCAGCCTCCATCACTCTCGGAGGGAGGGGGCAGTGAAGACTCTCCATCCCTCCATCCCTCTGACATTCATCAGCTGCGTTCCCTCATCCGTGACCCACTAATCCAACACAGAATTCCACTATTGACATTTTACTTCTATTAAGAAAGAATCCGCGATGTGTGTTACCATTAACACATCCGTGAAATCGATGCAGCATCTGAATGAAAATACACTAATTAAGTGCATCAACTTCCTTCAACATTGACGTTCAATCTTCTATCATCAGCGAACACTGTAACTCATTGTGTAAACGTTCATACAATATGGACAAAGCGTTTATAAGGTCAATATATTCCATACACCAAAGAGTTTGCGTTTTCGTACACGTTATTTAACTTGTCAGATGATTAAAACAGATATATGCCTTTCTTTCTTTAATAAATCAATCAAGTGTACTTACTTGAGAAAGTATACCATTTAAGACGTTGTTTTCAATATCCTATGTTGGATGATTTTTTATAGCTTCGATTCAAACTATTGTTCTCTGGTAAACCTAAGGAACAATTTCACAGTTTCTTTAAACTGTAATGATTAATTTGTTTGAAAAATCAAAATCTTGTAATATTTTCTCAATAAGGAATCCGGCGCTGCCATGGTTACAGGTCACCTGCTCGTGCAATGGAGCACGTGACCGAACACTCAACATGCCCCGAACGTGAACGACTAATGTTCACTCTCTCAACAGAACATTAGAATCAGCGGTCGTCTTTCATGCTTATTGATGTAATAAAAAAAGTTATGAAAACAGAAGTATAAAATCGATGCTAAGGCGAGAAACTGTTCTGGTCAAGTGCCATCGATCAGTGACCGTTTTTCACCATGTATCAAAGAGACTGGCTTTATGGGAGGAAGGCGAAACATAAATTGCCGCTGTTAAAATTCCTACAAAGTATCAAAATACTTCATAGAAATCACTGGATGTTTCAACAAAAGCATCTAAATGCAGCAGCTGCAATCAAACAACCTCGACCCCTTCAAACCCCGGTTCAACAAGCAGTTGGCCTAATTATTCCTATCAAATTAACGCCAAACTCACATCAAACAAGTTGAGGAAATTTACAAGATAGATTGGTGAGGGGTAAAATTTGAACCGGGCTCTGTCTTGCAGGAGCGACGCTTGGGTAAGCACCAAGCAGCACGCCTAATGAAGGGTCCGAAACCTCAACAGAAGACACATCATGGCAACTGAAGCCAACGCTATCCCATTCAGAAGAAGTGCCGGGAACAGTCTAACTAAATCTTAGTGGAAACCAACACAATTTGCTAGTCTGATTGGGTTATAACGACTTATTAATCGCAAAGAAATCGACGGCCGATTGAGCAGTTTGCTAAAATTCAATCGACGTGGAAGCGGTTCTCTCTCAGTTGGTTGAAGCAATGTGAAGCTCAACTGCGGGCCCAGATTGATCATTTAAAGGGGCCACACTCGGGCAGTTACTGACTTGGGTACACTTTATTATCCACTGCTATCATTATTGAACTGAATTTAGTGATAAGTTGCACTTTCTAAACCTTTTGATTTAAAAATAAACACTTAGACCAAAGGTTTACGTTAATCGGTTTATTTTTATATTTGACTTAATACCAATATTTTCGTAAATCTTGTTTTATTACTCACTCATTTAGAACAGCAGGGTTTGTGTTTAATGTTTAAATATACGTCAAATGCTTTAAAACTATTTTTTGTATGCTATCAAGCAATAATTCACATTGCAACACAACAGACAGTGCTTTCATAGTTACAGCGCCTGTGACTGAAAACTATTTAAAGCGGCGTTATTCTCAATTTGTTTTAACAGTCTGAAGCATAATTAACTTTTCCCCAGATTTTTCGGGAACAATTTTTTTTTTCGATAAAAACCTAACCAGATCCCAGTGAGCAAATCGCTACGACTGTCGTAAGTCTATGTTAAAGTAGTGGAGTTACGATCGTCTTTGCACTAAGATCGCTTTGTAGAACGGGTCTAGAAGTGCTGAGGTAAACAACTACACTTCGGGTATGGCGAACCGATTCCCATGCCCCCAATATTCGTTATATCAGGAGCTGACTATATACCAGATGGCTAGTGTGAAACCTTCTTACCTGCTCTTTAGATATATAGATGGGTTTGTTAAGTATAATCCACGTGACCGTCTCCTGACAACCAGGATGAGTGAGAGAGCCGTCGTAGGTCATGTAGTGTTCTGTCTTGGGCAGCAACTGTTCTAGAGCCAGATGGTGGACCTTCGCCCTCTTGCCTGGAACACACACAGACATGCACGCATCATATTCTGTTCTTTTAGGTGGAACATTTCTTGACATGAGGACATACAATTTTCAAAAGGGGGCATAACGGTCTTGCCTGGGACAAGAGAATTCTATATCATATATCTTGTCTGGGGCCACCAAAAGCTTTCTATATCATATATCTTGTCTGGTACCACCAAGAGCATTCTATATCATATATCTTGCCTGGGACCAACAAGAGCATTCTATCTCATATATCTTGTCTGGGACCAACAAGAGCATTCTATATCATATATCTTGTCTGGGACCAACAAGAGCATTCTATATCATATATCTTGTCTGGGACCAACAAGAGCATTCTATATCATATATCTTGTCTGGGACCAACAAGAGCATTCTATATCATATATCTTATCTGGGGCCAAAAAGAAAATTCTATGTCATATACATTTTATTTTGTCTTGGACCAACAAGATAAATATTTATCATATATCTTTCCTAATACCAACAAGTGAATCCTGTATCATATATATTGTGTTGGACCAACAAGTGAAACCTGTATCATATATCTTGTCTGGGACCAACAAGAGAATTTGACCAAAGGGTTATACAAACAAATCATACATAGTCCAAAAGGGGAATATTATATGATATATCTTGATTATGACCACGAAGGGGAATTAAATATTAGTATTACACGTTTCGCAAAGGGGGAATTCATTATTACGCATGTCGCCTGGGACCAATACATACTTATAAGTTGCATATTTTCGCCTAGGGCTTACGGAAAGAAATATTTGCCATATTTTGCCTTGGACGAAATATTGTTATGCAATATTCTGTTCTCAACTAAAGAAGCACTATGCATGTATGTACTACTCTATCTTTCCCTGGAAGGGAAGTAAACCTTCCGCATTCACCATATACCCAAATAACATCCAAATTTTCTAGGCCCCAAATTTCTGATCCATACAAGAGAATCGGGCTGATTTTTGTATCAAATATTCTAAAGTAAACATCATATGTAAACTTGTCCAGAACTCTAAGACTTTTTAATATGCTTGCAAAAAAATGTCTTGGCTTGAAATGAAATGTTATGTGCCTTCCTTGACCCAGTTAATATACTTGAAAAATACACGCCTAAGTATTTATAAAATGGAACCACCATTTTTAAAAACTACAACTTTGGTTTTATCCATATTTACAGTAAGTTTTGACCCGTCACAATAACTCTCTAATACATGTATTTGCTTTTGCAAGCCAGGTATTGTGCTCGAGAACATGACTATATCGTCAGCGAAAAAAACAGAAATAATTTATTAGTTTCGGGGTGAAGTTGTATTCCATCAGTGCGATTATTTTGGATTTGATATGTTAATTCATTTATGAAAAAGGAAAATAAGAAGGGACTTAATATACACCCTTGTCTGACACCCATGCTACTTACAAAATTATCCGATATAGCGCCATTGTTCCGGACACACCGCTTCATATTTTTATATAGAGAGCACAATAACTTTCCAATTTTGCTTCTTAGCCCATGTCTTTGAAAGAGTGACCACAAGTTAACCCTTTTCACAGAGTCAAAAGCTTTTGCAAAATCTATGAATACGGCCTTGTCATGGACCAAACAAGATTTGTATACAATGAATGCCAAAGGCCAAAAAAAATTTACACATGCCATGTTATTCCTCGGAAGTTGAAACAAAAATATCTTGCCGGAGATAAAAAAGGGAAATGAATGGTACATATCAGGTCATTAACAAGAGAATAAGTATCATGACATATCTTGTATAGAACCTGGAAGAATTATATATAACATGTATTGCCGGGACATTCGCTGTTTTTTTTGTATATACAGCATATTTGGCCTACTACATTATAAACACCAATATCGAAATGATGGTTTTGTGTCTTTTGTCTGGAACGTTAATATAATCGTTCACATTATATTTGCGATATACTCGTATTATCTATATGTCTTGGACACTAGCAAATAAAGTACGAGTTAATAACGACATAAAGAGAATTATAGAATTCACTGACTGAAGACACGCAACATTAAAGTATGCATGCCCTGTTGGTCATCAACATAATCGTACAGTATATTTCGGACTATTTCAAGTCAATTCATAATACTATTACCTTTAAAATGTAGCCCCCTGAGTTCTTTCGTTATCAACACAAATGCTTTGTTTGGTTCCTTGCCAATCTGGAAGGTAAATATACCGTAGATAATAATAACAACAATGACAACACTAATAATAATGACAATAATAACAACAACAACAACAACAACAACAACAACAATAATAATGACAAAACGATTTCCATAATCACAGGACTCCATTCGACGATTCTTACTCTATCATAAACAGGTGTTAGTGACGATACCACGTGAGAGTATCCTTCCCCACGGGTGACACCCGTCAAATAAGGAGGCATGTCAAATGTTCACCTGAAAAGAGACCAAATCCTCCAATTGTGACATTCAGAAGCACGTTCAGACATTGCCGTAAAGGACGTCGGAACACGATGACACGCAATCAGTCTAATCACAAAACCTAATCACGTGATCCTTATTGCGGTAAATATTTACGACATATATATATATATATATATATATATACTTGGGACCTATTATTACCCGGTGTCACACAGGGTCGTATTATAAGGGGTTTACTTGGACCTAGACTTTATAAATACTGGTATATAACTTAAGTCACCGATTATGATTGCTTTAAATTTTGCATAACGATATCGTAGTGCTGCAGTTAGTGGAACATCATTGGTGACGTCAAACTCCAAATACTTTATAATAAATACTAATGATAATAATATGTGCATTTATATGCGCCAGATTCCATTCACCAAGTGGATGCTCATAGCTCTACACTATTTTTTTTAATACCCCGGTCAATGGATCAGTGAGCACTCGATTTACATTCTCAGCTCCCTGGGGAGTATACAACCCAAGCTGCCTGTGAGGCGCTAGAAGGTTAACAGATACATTGTCATCTCATCCTACCGGGTACCCACTCACTGCTGGGTGAACAGAGGCACATTTCGAACAAAGTCACATGCCAAAGGAGACACCACATGTGGTACATGTGCTACGGTGTGGGGCAGGACCGAAGCCCTAGAAACTCTCGGGAGTCAAGCTGCCATCCAAATACTCTCCGAGACCGACGTTGCTTAACTTCACCTGATGTGTGATCTGTGTGCTGTGCACAGGACCACGTGCCAATGCGTTCAATGCCTCAAATATAAGTCTCTGAAGTTTATTTGTCAACATAATTGACTGTGATTGTTCCTTTGAGTGAGTGAGTGAGTGAGTGAGTATGGCTTCACGCCGCTTTTAGCAATATTCAAGCAATATCACGGCGGGGGACACAAGAAATGGGCTTCAAACATTGTACCCATGTCGGGAATCGAACCCGGGTCTTCGGCGTGACGAGCGAACGCTTTAACCACTAGGCTACCCGACCGCCCCTGTTCCTTTGAAAATGAAGGCAAATACATGTATATTTTAAACATAAAGCATGGTGCAATTTGTTACTACATCGCTGACGAGCTCCATTTCGTTCTTACTCATTTAGGAGCAATTACCGTAGGCGTGTATGAAGTACTGTTATTACAGAAATCAGTATCCCTATGATGGTCTGAGCACATGCTGGAGCAACTGAATTGACGCATTATCCAATATGTTGAAATATGATTGAAGTACAGTTAAACCTGGAGTCAAACAATATATACACGTACATGGCGTAACGGGGAATAGAGAAAATCAGAAATATGCACCTGGAAAAAGGTTAAGCACTCCCGCTTCTCTTTTTCCGTATATCCCAAACTTCCGTGTATCGTTTGAACATATCTATATATGACATTGGAGCCGTGAAGACCCGGGTTAGAATAGGTCCTCAGCAACCCATGCTTGTTGTAAGAGGCGACTACGGGATCTGGTGGTCAGACTCGCTGACTTGGTTAATGCATGTCATCGTATCCCCATTGCGTAGATCGATGCGCGAGATATCAATCACTCGATTGTCTGATCCAGATTCTATTTTACAGACTGGTGTCATATAGCTGGTATATTGCGTTAAACAAACAAACAAAGGACATTGATATCATATCTACATGTCTAGGATACCGCAGACACGTGACGAAACATTGTTACAAGAACCCCCTGTGTTCCTCCCGATGGCAAGTCCTAAGATGCCGAGAAACAGAGGATGCAGGTGATGCGGTAGTCAACTCACTATTTCCATGACACAGTTACAAAAAAACCCCACAGCATTCGATAAAATATTTCGATTTCTGCATTTCAATATACTTTCATCGCCCTTGAAAGTAAAACAAATATGTTTCTTCAGAAAGTTAATCCCGGATACATTTGAAAGAAATGACTATTTTCTGTTGAAATATGGTAAGCGGGGCTGAACTTTCTTCCAGGAAGCCGCCTCAGTTGTCTAGTAGTAGAGCGTCCGCCCGAAGAGCGGAAGGTCCGAGGTTCGATTCCCCGGCCGCGTGATGCCAAAAGACGTTAAAAGATGGTACTTGTTGTTATCCTGCCTGGTGAATACTTTCTGACATCCATTATCCATCGTTTATGACATCATCTATTGGTTATGCAACGTCTATAGCGATAGTCCTTTATAAAACACTTATAACTCTAGTCGGCGACATTGCCGTCATATCACGACAGGCTCGAGTTATTCGTGTGTGGACCAGTGGTTGATAATGTGAACACCGAATTGTGTTATCGGTGTACACACGCTGAGCCAAAGATCAGCCGAGAGTTGAATTTTCTGTAGGTTTCAAGACCACAGTTACTGAGACTATGTGAATACGTTAACATGATACTCGTGTAACTTTCACAGGCTTTTTTCTCATGTGTGCGTATGTTTGCGTGCGTGTGCGTACATGCGTATGAACGTTGTTTGATCCTTGGCCGGTAGTGTTTCCAGATAGTTACTTATGAATTATAAGAATACACGTCTGAAATTGGTTGACGCGTAACTTGTGCGTGCGTGCGTGTGCGTGCGTGTGCGCGCGTGTGCGTGCGTGTGTTTTACAGCCAATTTTAAAATTCAGTCAATTTGAAAAATCTGTGTGTGTGTGTGTGTGTGTGTTCGTGCGTGCGTATGTCTTTGTGCGCGAGCGTGTGTGTACATGTATATGTTTTTTTATTCGGGTGTATGTATATACATGTAATATGTGTGTGTATGTGTGCGCCAGAGAGTGTGTGTACACGGTTCGTACTCAGGAGTGAGAGTCTGTATTTATTTATACACGACTGCATGAGCATGCTGTGTATATAGCGCGTACAAACATCATATAATATTATTTTGATAATCAAGAGTGTCACTTCGGATAATAGAGTCTGATTACTGCGTCAAATAAACACATGCGTTCATACCATGTACACTCACGTGGGGCACTAAAATATCCAATCAATCAATAACCAATCATTGATACTTAGCAGCGAATGTGACGTTCCGATCTAAATGTGTAGCGTTAAGTGCAAAGGCATGCAGGCTGTCGAGACGCTGACGTCACGTGACCACTGACCTCCATGAAGACGGCGAGGATCGCCAGCCCCTTGTTACCCCGCACAGCCTCGGATATGTTGGAATACAGGTCCGAGTTGTATGCAACGATGTGCATCTGGAAAATATAAAACACAGGTAATTTAATTGAGAAGTATGTTATTAATTTTCACGAACGGCTGAAAAGTAAAAAATATGAAAAAGAAGAAATCCCCGTATCAAAGCAGGTTTGAATCATTGTGCAGAGTTGCGTCCCTTGGGCATGCAGAACCTGTGATCATGGGTTCAAATCCAAGATTCGCTCTGATTTTTTTTCTAGGTTTGTCAGCACCATAACGTCTTCGTGGGTTTTACAAAAGCGGAAAATATCTAAGACCTGCAACATTTTAGGATTTCCTCTAAAATAAAGCTGATGTGAAAAGACTGTAAAAACAGCATTGAACCAAGCTCGTTCAGTCACTAAATGGAAAAAAAAACAAGTTAAAAAAACCTCAGTATACGCCAATGTTTGATGGTGGCTAAAATGAAACAAACAAGAAATGTTTATTCACTGAATGTAGTGCGGGTACAACAGCTCTGCTTTGGACCTTTAGTTTGGACCAATGTTTCGGAGACGGGTTTCATCCTGGTATTAACATGGGGAAAATGGACAAAATTTTACAAATATTTCATAACGTTACATGCCACATATTAAGAATAGGAAATTGTGAAATAAGGGAATGGTACAACAAACGACCATGTTCCATTATCTTTAGATTGCCAAGGGTCAACCCGATAACGCATATCGAACAAGGCCCGCATCTCTGATTGTGCTGGTCAGATAGAGTTAACAAATGTAAGACGTTCTTTAGCTGTATCTACAGCTGTTTATCACCGACCCTTATCAAATCACTAGTACCATGTATACACTCGTGGCATACTAGCAACTGTTAAGCTATTATTCTTACTAAACTTCACTCATCAATGCCTCGGTCAAACTAAATTATATAATTCTGTAAATATAGCGCCACTAAAGTTCACAATAACAACGTTATCATCAGTTTAATCAGTAAATGAGATTATCTGTATTAGCTTGAATAGGTATAAATACGGACGACAGACAGTCACAAATCGTTCTTTTTAAACTGACTGTTTATTCACTCAGATCTTGTGTTGGTCGTGTATATTGGTACCACTGCTAAGCGAGCTGATTCCACCACTCTCGTTTTAATATGTTTACCATAAAATGTTGACAACCCATATTGGTAACAACTACCGTTGAAAAGTGCCGCTCGAATAAACCGATGGAATTAAGACTAATGTGCAGAGAACTAATATTCTACTTTCAATATTGGACTTTGTTACATTCCAGGTCAATGTCCGTGTAAGGAAAACGAGGTTTGTTGGTACAACAAGGCTCACTTACTAATAAAAGCAACAAAACCCCATTCCATAATCATAAGAAATATCCATTGTCCATTGTGCGATTCCGACTATATCATGAGCATGTGTTTATAAATCACTATCAAATAGTGATGATACCAGATGTTCGCGAAAAGGTGAGCGTAAACTACCCCACAGGTGGCAAACATATCCAAACACATGCAAAGGCAAATCAATTGTTCACCTGAAAAAACAATGATTCACCTCATTCGCGTTTTAATACTAGTAACGTTTTATAAACGTTTGTATTTCTTTGGTCCAATCCAATTGTCAAGTGTATGCTTTCTTTTACCCGGCAGTTTATAGACATATAGACGAAAAGTACACATCTAAAGAAGTATTTATCAACACCACACTTTACAACCAGACATCAACTTTCCTTAATCGTTTGTATCAGTTTGCTGTTGGTTAAATATATTTAATTTCATTTCGTTTGACATTTGCAGTAACGAAAACGATTAACATTTGACGTGTCTACCGACATTTTTAAATACATCCTATTTCCCCAAGCTAGCACTAAACAACCAACCAACGAGGCCTAAACAACCAACGAGGGGGATTTTATCAGGCGTATTATATATCAAAGTTAATATTTATCAAGATACTACCTGATAATTGGAAGAATTAATGTTTTCCCCGCTCGAGGTACATTAAGTGGAACTGTAGGCACGACAGGTTTTATATATATTTTTTATTTCAATATTAACTTTGATATATACTGAACCGCAAAAGAAACGTCACCATGGATAGATATATGAGAAACCTTATTTGTCCAAACACTGTAAACATACTTTGAGACATATTGAAAAAAAGAAACTTGGTAAAACTGATCATCAAGGTTGAAATTAAAGTGTCATATTGTTCTTAAAGTGAAACACAACACTAGTCTCGGAGAAAATGTCATCACAAGTTAGTATCTCGTGTGTATTGCTGACTGACGTGCAACGTCGATACCTGGAAATGGATGAGTCGGTTGATGAAGGCCATAGGCACTTAAGCCCACACTCTGAGGAACGTCTGACGCAGTTCAGCTGCAGTTGTCGGCCTTGGTCGGACGTCATTCAGCCGTCTTTGAATCTCGTCCCACAGGTGCTCAATGGGATTTAAATCGGGACTGAGGGCAAGCCACTCCATGATGCTCGGACCAATCCACGAGTCTCTCTCAACAACACAAGCATCCGAATAACGTTTCCCACGGCGTCGCCAGACTCGCTCTCTGCCATCAGCTGTTGAGATACGGTAACGGCTCTCGTCTGAGTGGCGACAGTGCTGGTGCGGTGTAGCCCATTGAAGACGGTCCCGTCGATGACTTGGTATCAGAATGGCTCCTCGGTGTGGCCTGTGACAGCGGAGGTGTCTGCTCGTCAATCGTCGAGGCACGGTGTCCGCACTAATGTCTCGCTGGTGTGTCCCCATGGTCTGTCGAGCAGTTTCCTTGTCTTTCACTACGTGGTCGATCATCTGTAGTGTTGGTGGTCTGGCTGATACCGTTGCTGGAGCCTGCATATGGTCCTTACGTGGACTTGAAATGCATTGGCTACATGCCGGGCGGTTTGTCCACCTTGCAATCGTCCAATGGCTTGGTGTCGCTGATTTGTTGTCAATCTTGGCATGTGGTAGCAATTCAGTAACGAATGACTGTTATCCGATCTGGGTGAATTTTTATAGGGCAAGAAATGGGGGAACGCATGTTCATTTCAATCTGCAACGTGCATCGGGTTACCATGCGTTTGCGCGATCGGTTTAATTGTCATCTGCTTTGTTTTTTTTTTATCATCAAATCTAATTTTTCCGGACAAGGTAATGTTAAATTTGAGAAACCTTGACAAGAATTACCCAGATTTTTTAATGACAACTTTTCATGCAATGTTACTTGGGCTGACGTTTCTTTTGCGTTTCAGTATATATCACGCCTGATTAAATCATTCTCGTTGGTTCTTTATACAAATATTTGTATAATATACCCTTTCAAAAAAGAAACGAACAGGTAGATTTTAAGTAAATTTATTGTACCTAATAAAATCGATATATTTAATTTAATATCATAGATACACATATGACATTTTGGAGCTCGATAGTCACATGTTGTTGTACAAAGGCAATGAAAACTGTTCATTGTCATGTCACATAAGGCCACAAGAACTGAACTCAGTATCTTGTGTGACCGACCCGGGCAGCAATCAATCACGGCTCTGCATCTCCTCGGCACTGACTGGATAAGTGTACGAATTCTGTCCTGCGGAATTCTGCGCCATCCCCCCCCCCCCCCCCCCAAACACACACCATGACACAATCGCCACCGAATTTGTCGAATACACGTGCACAATGTGGGCAAAACGCTCATTTCGACGACGAAAACACGTTGTCTTCCATCTCGCCGGTGAAGAAGAAATCGTGATTCATCGTTTTACCACACTCGTCTCCAGTTTCTCTAAACCCAAGGCTGTTAAGCATGGCACCAACACAAGTGTCACTGTCTATGGATCTGTTGCAAAACAGGGACGATAACTGGTCTTCTGGGTCGGATTCCAGCCTCGCGAAGATGGTTCCTGACAGTCTGGTCCGATATCCTCCTCAAACCAGGGATGCGTCCTGCAGTCTCCGTAGCTGTGGCATTGCGATGACGTAGGTGGAACAGTCGAATGGAGCGATCCTGTGCAGGGGTGGTAACTCTTGGTCGGCCGGTTCTCGGACGGTCTGCCGTGGAATTGAACTGTGTGTATCGGTCCCAAACCCGGCAAATGGTGCTGTGGTGGACGTTGAAGTTGCGTGCAACAGAGGACTGCGATTCCCCAGTTTCGATACGTCCTGTGTCGATGTTCCGATCGCGGCATTTTCGAACTTGAAAAATGTTGAAAATTGAATGACAAATTATTGGCTTATGCTTGCCTTTTTATAGCCACTACCACGAGTTACGAATGCCATAACTTGCACGTGCATTTTGCTTTACTGTTTCCCTTCATGACATTTTTGAACAAGTGTGAAAACAATGCCGTTTTAGACATTGTTAATGGACAATGGCTGCGTTTTTTGACGCACCGTTTGTCGAATATCATATATATATATGTAGAGAGAGAGAGAGAGAGAGAGAGAGAGAGGGAGGGTATTTTTCGTCTGGTAAACAAGACGAAGTATTGGATGCTGGATCTTCAGAAAGATGTTTTTGAGGACATATTCTTGCCTTATATAGTGTGTCTTGAAGTGCTCCAAACCCAAACGCACGCACGCACATATGCACGCCCGCCCGCCCGCACAATAAGACTGACAATTTCAACTCTTGCAGGTCTTGTCGTTGCACATGAGTTTTTCACAGGAGCTTAACCCGTTCCTTGACGACAATCCTTATGTGCACTTTGCAATTTATTTTTACCAACCAGCAATGAAAGGAAATTAATATTTGACATGCTTATATAACACCGAGAATCCTTGCTCTTCTACGCTTTATATTTTTATCTAACCGTTTCTCATTTAAAAAGGGACTGACAATGCTTGTTCTTTACAAATGACCTTTACATAATTTTTTCAACGGATGCAGAAACATCAAACATTAATTTGGCATCGAGTATTACATTAACAAATCCCTGCTTTTATATGACAATTATGTATTTTGCCAAGTAGTGGGTGAATATTATTTTTTCGTCAAATGAATAGCCCTGTTGTCGTGTACTGAGACGCAATTTCATAGCCAAACCTATT